ATCAGCTTTTTCAAGAATAAAAAAATTACCATACCGTGTCCATAACATGACATACCCTAATTCTAAAGTTATCAATAGCCTAAGGCTTAAATTTTGTGATAGTCCAAGTCATAGTCCTATCAGAGTCATATCCGCTACTAACCTAAATTTTCCACAGACCTATCTACCAACGGCCCTAGGCTAGTCTTACCACAAATTCTTAAATATACCTAAATTCAACCAATTTCTACCATAACCTTAATCATTTTCTACCACAATAGCAACCTTATCCTACATTTTAATTTCATTATCATCTATGCCCAAAAAATCAGCCAATCATCATTCCATTCCCCTCTGAAGAACCCTATCGCTAATATTCATCAACATATCATCAAGATACCTTGCTTGACCAGATCAAAAACAATAGTGGAAAGCCGTGCTGCCGGTCAGAGTAATAAACGCCATTTAAAAGTCTCGGTTTTCTCTTTTCACACTTTTTTTCTTGTGTTATTTTCATCGAGAGCTAATTAAACAAATTAACTAACCTTTTTTCTCCATTTTCCTCTCATTTCCACCCCCGCTCCTTAAAATACTTTTTTTCGTCTTGCCCTCCGGGCATTCAGATTTTATTGGCCAAATTTTTGGGCTTTATAATATTTTTTGTAATTTTTGAGAATTGTGATATTTAATTTCAATAGATAGTTTTTTAAATTAATCTTTACCTTTGTGATTTAAGTCTTTAATTATTACAGTGAAACTTCTATATAACGAATCGCTTAGGGATTTTTGAATTGCTCGTTATAAAGGAGTTTTATTACACTGGAGTTCGTTAAAGTTCGTATTACAAGAGCGCTGTATGTTTTAATTTCCAAAGTAATATTTCATTTGCTTTATCATAATTGTTTTTAAATTCTTATTTCGGCGGGTTTTTTAAATTTTTTACATAACTGCTTTTGTAAAATTGCATTTTTATTGTTATAATGCAATTGCTATGTCTTCCTTTTAAAAGTCTTTTCATTTTTTTACTAATTCTACAAACTTTTTGACCTGTTGCGAAATTTTGCTATACTTTTATTGAGTTTTTTGCCAAATTTGCAGCATTTCTGTGCCATTTTTGACCTTTTTTTCTATTTCTTTCATAATTTTTATATTTTTGGATAATTCTACAAACGTTTTGACCTTTCTAACAAATTCTTATAAACATTGTTTCAGACTTATATTTTTTGAGATTTTTTGCTACATTTTAACAATTTTTTGCCCTTTTAATTATTCAACCCCTAACCATCTCTCTCATTCCAATGCTCTCTCGTTTTTCATAAAAAAACTAATTAATTAATGAAGTAATTTTAAAATAAAGGATTCTATGTGGACGTCATTCAACTGATCTAATTAATTAGTTCTCTATTAAAAAGTAGTGGCCGTTCTTTTAAAAAAATTTATTTAATTTTAAATTATGCAAATTTAAAAAAAAATATATTAAAAATAAATTGGTGCAAAGTCTAAAAACGTATTTTACAACCGTTTTAAATTTGATTAATACAGTAAAAAAGCTTCAAAAATGAGTCCCACCACGAAAACGTGATTTGCGAAAAAATTAACTTTAAATAAATAAAACTTGTAAGAAAGATAAGAAACTATTGAAAGTAAGCTAACATAACTTCAATTACGTTCCAAATGTTATTTCAAATAAGTTTAAAACTCAAAACTTCAAAATTTTGGTCCCACCACGAAAACATGAACTACAAAAAATTTAGCGACGAACCTAAAAATTAAAAAGAAGAGCCCTAAAACGACCAATACAAGCCCAATTTTCACAAAAAAGACCAATATCATTACCAGAAATTACAAAATCAACAATGTACACATGAATTTGTGGCACTTAAGGAAAAGTCGGAATTTAATTAAAAATTACTTGTCACAAACGCCTGTTTTTAGCCAGCCGCTCATTTAATTTAATGCCACTTGGCCTGCCGCCGTCCATTAAGTCCGAGCGATTAATTTGAGTACCGCGTGTTCGCGACGAAACTCGGACGTAAAGGTAAGCACGAGCTGTGGAGAAGGTGGTGCACAGCGCTTACTAATATTATAAGGGGTATAGCCGGCTGCCTTCAGAAGCAAACTAGTAGTGAGAACTACCTTGCTATGGTCGAGAAGAAAATTGGTTATTTCATAGAAAATGTATATACAGTGGCACTCCTGTATAACGAACTCCTCTATAACGAAAATCCCGTATAACGAACAACTTTTGAATCCCCGTCTACCACTACAGTGCAGTGAATTTAAAACTCCTGTATAACGAAACTCCTTTATAAGAAACAAATTTCAAGTCCCCGGGCGATTCGTTATACAGGAGTTACTTAAAAGCACTGAATATAGACAACAATCGGTTTTACTGCCAGGCAGGGTGATTTTAGCCTACAGAGAAAATAAAAAAAAAACAAAAACAATTTTTTAAATCAACAAAGAATAACAAAATCAACCATTTATAAATTTTTTGTACCCCCACTCTTACCCGGCTCCTCCAATCCCACCACCACCCCCGCCCTGACTCCAAGTTCCGACCAAAAACACCACTCTATAGCCTTACCTATGACGACTACTCATGCCATTACCAGAGGTGAAAAACGGTCTCACTTTGAAGCCCGGCTCCAAATTTTGAAAAGATTTGTGACCGGACTTACTTTTCAAGACCGGTCAGAGGGACAAACACAACTTTTAAGACCGTCCCATTTCAGCTTTAGCTCAAGACCGGTCCCGTCGTAGGGCAAGACCTACACATCCCGTTTCTCACTCCTAGTCCTTACTACAGTACTACCACCAAGTCACTTCACCCCGTTTTGTAACATATTTTTCAACGTTTACAGTATAACATGCCCATAATACTAATGCTCATACTTTTCCTTTTTCTTACAATTTACAATTACTCCCATGATAATCCGGTAAAAACCGTTGCCAAATCATGTAAATGTAAAAATTTGTTAAATTAATGAAAAAGACATTACTACAAGCCGAGAATGTTGATAATCTTCCCATTACGCTACATCATATATCTAGTAAATTACACTAATGAGTGTTAAAGTGTACATAAGGTAAACATGTGATGGTTGAGATTGTAATCATTTAGAGAAAAAGTAGTAAGAGATGTTTCTTATTTACTTTTTAAAAAATTAAAAATTTTTTTTAAAAATGCGTTCGCATGTATTATATATTGGTTACTATGTAGTATAATAGCTACGTGAATTCATAGTAATAGAAGACTATATAAAAGTGCCTAAACACAAGTCAATTTTGTAGCACATGTCGTAGGATAGTCTAAGCTGAAGCCGAAGCTCTTGTTTGAGTTCAAGCCAAAACCCTATCCTGACTTGCCTTATGATCTAAACTATCCTACCCTGCCCTACACCACGCTCCACTGCTTTATCATATACCCTACCTGGCCTTATAAGCTACTGTACAATACTCTACCTTATGACCTACCCTACTCTACCCTCTACAACCTTATGATTTACCCTGCCCTGCCCTACCTTATAACCTACTGTACCCTATCCTACCCTGCCTTATGACCTACCCTACTCTACCCTCCACTGCCTTATGACTTACCCTACTCTGCTCTACCTTATAAACTACCTTACGCTACCCCACTCTGCCTTACGGCCTACCCTACCCCATCCTACCATACTCGATGCAATCCTTGACCTACCTTACCTACCCTCACCTACCAATCCAACACATTTGAAATCGAACTCAAACCTCATAAAACCCAACGATAAGCAATAACAACAAGATATTAACAGCCGTAAAACCATATTTTGCTTCTAAATACAACCTGCTTCAACTTGCATATCTCATTCATAAAAAGGTAGCCGAAATAATTGGTGTCCTTAAGGAAAAGCGAAGCCGGAACCGGAAATCTCTCAGAATACGGGGCTATATTACTGGCGATTAAGCGAGGGAATACGCATGCATTTATAATTACTGTAATATGCACCATAAACAATATTTTTCAGGGCTTGATATACGGTTTTTTGCCCACGTGGTAAGAGCTGATATCAATTTTCAAGGTAGTAAAGGTTAATATCAATGGTCGAGACGTTAATTTCAATAAAATTGATCAATGGGTTAACATTTATAATAATTCCTGTGCGGAGAGGGTTATTTTGGAAGGTGGAGGGGGGAGGGAAATTTATTACTTTTTAAATAACAATCAACTAAACAGACCTTGCTTAACTTGAAAAAAATATATTTTTAGTCTTACCCCTCCCTACTCAAAAAAAATTGTAAAAGTTAAAAATGCCCTCCCCAAAAAAAATTTAACCCATACCCAGAGCAGGGCAAGAGGTAGAAACAGAACCGAGAAAAAAGAGAGTACCCCCCAACCCCCTTGCCCTCCCAAGTTTAGTGTTTATCCACTCAATCCATTTCAACAACAAATGACAATAAAACCAGAACTGCACCGTGCAAACCAGTACCTTCCTTATTTAACCACCATTTACAGTGCAAATCAGTACCACCCATTCCAGCCCCATTTACCTTATAAAAGACATTTTTATAACCGAGTTAATTTACCTGTCCCTGTCATAATGTACATCTTAATGGCTTCGATGAAATGACAGATTGCATTTTGCTTTTCTTGGCGGTAATTTGCGGTTCGAAATCCGCCGTTAAATGTCTATTTTATTTGACATAACGGCCTTCGGCTTTAAGCTTTAGTCACTATTTCTGAGGTACATCAAGGTAATAGTAAGGTACATCAAGGTAATAGTAAAATGCATCAAGATAACATTAAGTTGCAGCAAAGCTAAAACTATTTCTTAAAAATTTATTTTTACATTATTATTATGATACAAATATTGATAAATTTATAGAAATATTATAGTATGATCTTCTTATAAGCCCTTAACAAAGTTGACTATATCAAGAAGCTGCTGTACTTACATAAACTTACAAACAAAATGATAAGTAAATAATATACAATAATATCATTAATCAATACATATATTATAATACAATAACAATAATAATTAATCAAAGACTTGATCAATAACAGGCGTGAACTCAAAAGTGTTTTCATCTACAATTCTATACCGATTAGCTTTATACGTGGTCAAATTGACCTGTCGTTGATCATGAACATGTTCGTAGATGGCTTTTGCGACCGGTGGTAGAGTGTGAGGGCGGTTGGCAACCTTTGAAAGCAACTCGAAGTAGACCCATTGAGCTGTGTGCATTCGATGGTAAAACTTGACTGGCTGTGCATTTTTTTTCAACTCACTAAACGAAAAATTGGAAATGGCAAAAACTTTCTTTACAATAAAGCTACCGAATTTTGTTATTCTATGAAGAAATTGCAAGAACTTTCTTTACAAAATATAAAAATAGAAATCATTACTTTTTATTGTCATTTTAACCTGAAGTTTCAAATTCTCCCTTGCCTGAGGCGATGTAAAACATAAAAAAACACGCAAATCACACCAAAATCAATATAAAATTACAGTACCAATTTAAAACTCCTTACCGTAGTCTATTCTCCTCAAAATTCCACATTTCCTCTTGTGATGGTACAGGTACTTGCGACATCATTAAAGCGATACAATATTGTATTTGATGATCAAATAAAACAAATGGGATCAAGCTCCAACATAAACCAATAAAATACAGTGAATTTGGGTATGAAGGATGTACACAATGTTGATATAGTGGAGCTATATACGATCCGTTACCTTTTACCTAGAAGTAGATGATTGTCACGGTTGGTTAAGATAGATAAGGCAAAAAATTTGAAAGTTCACTAACTCATGATTTCGAAAAATGACAAAAAGTCCCTTACTTCGACCAATTTCTTGCTGTTCTTATCAGTAGAATCAAAGAATGGCACATCGTATGTATAACCAGTACAAAAGATGACCGAATCAACATTTTTCAGTTCTTCTCCTGATTCCAATAAAAATGTTTTACCATCATCAGAAACGTCACCTAACCTCGAATGGCATTGTACGTTGGGCGGTAGTACGTATTTTATTTTTTGGTCATATAGTAAATGGACCTGCAATTATTTTTTTATTTTTTTACTTATTTTTGATTTTTATGGTTTTATCTTGTCTTTTCTTTGTTTTATTATACTATTATCGTTTTTGTCATAGAGTATCTCAAAAATAAAACCTTGTTACAGTAAGCATATAAACTCTGATTTTCGAAGCATACCATAAGCTTGTTAAAATAAGCAGATGGAATCACAATTTCAAACGGCATACCACAAAAATCAAAGCATTTTACAGTAAGCCCATAAACCAAGATTTTCGACGCCTACCGTAATCTTGTTACAGCAAGCTTACAAGTCGCCTTACAATACTTTAAAACCCTCAAAATTGCTTACACTCTTCGCGAACTGACTAATTTGAATAGCCACATCAGTACCAGAAGGACCCCCACCAATTATTAACACATTCTGCCCTTTGTAGCCATCTGGTTTCCTGTAGTTGTGACAATGAATCCACGGAATCTTCAGCTTCTTCGCGCAGCCCAATATCCTCGGCTGAGCAAAATGACCATTGCATACGAATACAGCATCAAATTCTTGAGTCGACTCGTTTTCTTGACCGGTCGATTGTACTGGTCTTGTTGTGACTTGCCATGAATTGTTGTTACGTTCTACTTTCACTACAGTCGTGTTGCACTAAAGTGGCAAGTGTTATATTGTTCTTTATTATTTTTGACTAGAAGTTTGATTAAAGGAGTAGTAAGAATAAAGGTAAAAACAAGGGTAAAATACGGGTTAGTGCATAATTAGAGTTAATGCAAATTAGAGTAGGAGTAGAGGTAAAATTAAAGGTAAGAGTAATAAGGTTAAAAGATAAAAGTAAGAGTAAGGGTCAAGATACAGTTAGAGCTAATTTACTCTGTAAAAAACCACAAATGAAGTTTTTTTCAAAATATTATAGTATTTCTTACTTTGATAACATGCCTAAAGCTGGCAGAATACCTTTGTAGATAAGCCAAAACTTCTTGATGTGGCACAAATGAGCTGGCATCTTTTGTCTCAAAAGGATAGTCTTCGAAGCGCATTATTTCTTTCGGTATATTCGTTCTGAATTGTATTCAATGTTAGTTTTTAAACTAATTTTTTTTTATTTATTTTTACACTTCGTGGATCTTAAACAAAACGCATAAAGTAACCGTATTTTACCAGCAAATACACCAAAAAACTAATTTTAGAACTATATTCAAATAAATAGCCATTACTTACATCATTTTTTCATAAAGACTAGAAAAAACGTCGGTTTTTTCCGAATACACCCAGGTACCACCAATTTCGGATTGTTGTTCATAAACCACAACTTTGAAACCGTTATCAATCAAGTGTTTCGCGGCACATAAACCAGCAGCGCCACCACCGATCACGCATACTGATTTGTGAGGTAATCTCACCATTTTTGGTTGTTTCTACAATTCAAATATTGAAAAACTTTACATATTTCAATACAAACATAACATTTTAAGAACAACACGATCAAAAACATAGCAAACGTAAAACCGTCACGATCAAGCACGTAGCAAACTTGTGACATATCACGATCAAGCACGTACTAAACCCAGGCTTGGCCAAAAGACAAGACATTAACAATTTCCTGTGCCTTGCCTTATGTCCAGCCCTGGTCAAAACACTTTTAAAACACGCTAAAATTTAAAAAAGACATTTTAAAAAATTAAAAATTAAAAAAGGTATTGAAAACACAAAAAATAGACATTTTGTCACAATTCAAAACAAAGGAAAAACAAACAAAAACTTTGTAAACAACAAAAAACAAAAACACACCACGTTTTGGCACTAAAATGTTTGTCGCAATCACTTTCAATCCACTTTTCTTAACAAAAAAAGTCCAAAAGTGACCAAACAAGCACAAAAATGCAATAATTTATAAACAAAAAATTAAAATTAATTTTAAAAACATTTAACAGAACTGACACTCTTCTTACTCTTACTCTTTATTCACGTTTCTATTCAAAACATCCAAAAAACACTAAAAACCCCCAGTATATTGTCCAAACTTGAAAAAATTAACAAAATCTATTTAAAATAACATCTTTAATCCAAAAAAAACGTAAGAATAAACAAAAAATAACTCTCAGACATCTGTACAACATCATAAACAAAAGTTTTACCCACTTTTCAATTCAAAAATTAGCGTGGGTGAAAGCCACGAATCCTAACCACTAGACCACATGGGAGACGAAGAAAGAGAGCTCGAAATACGAAATGAATTCGAATGAAGGTCACAGAGAATGGAGAAAAGGAAAGAAAACAGTGATTGATCATCCGTAACATTACATTTTTTTAAGTAATCATATTATAACAAACTCCTGTATAACGAACTTAGTGGTCGATGAGAAGTCAAAAATTGCTCGTTATAAATTTATAGAGAAATTCGTTATACAGAAGTTCCACTGCAGATCTTAATTTCAAAAATAATGACTAAGCCCATTACAACCGCCTTATTTATACCAGACAGAACTTCCAAAAAAGCGATATTTTAAAAGTTAAAAAATGATCATATTGGGTCAACAAACACTCATGATACAAATCGTAATAAGACCAAAGAAAAGTAGTCGCAATTCGTTGAAACCAGATCCGCGAAGACACCTTGCACATTGATCAGTGATCTACCGAGTTACCCACGTGGCGATGAAATACGAAATATGATAAATTTATCAAAAAATATTATAGAAGCTCACAAAAGCAAACAGAAAATGCAATTTCCAATCATTTTAATAATGACTATTAAAAACATGCGCCAGGCATACCAGCTTAACTTTAAAAAAGAAGGTCCAATCATATTTTATTCATCAATAAATCGCAAAATCGTTTATTTCAATTCATCATTGATAAAAAGTTACTTTTCAAGTTTTTACAACGGAGAAATTGTTACATAGTAATGCGCTCTTGATAGTGTAAAGTCCAAAATAAATACTATACGTGATCTTCAGAAGTTACAAAGAAATAATAAAAATTTTACAATTACTTGGATAGTATCTGCTTTTATCACAACCTTGAAAAAAACAAAAAAAAGCTCTTTTTATAGTCAACTAGTGATCCAGATTACGTTTAAAAATCATAAAGCCTACTGTTGTTATAGAAAACTCTTGCCTTGCTGAGTAAACCTAAAAGGAGGCCCAATGAGCAAGGTCTCGGCCCAAATCAAAGTCCAGGCCGTGAGCCGGACCGAAAAATTGAGCCGGGTCCCTTTAAAAGTCTAGCGGCTACGCAAAAAACCGTAAAAACTTAGTTACCTAAATATATATCTAGAACATACAACAATTAACATCAACAATCTAAGAAAACGATCGCCATCACTATCCAATAACGCCAAAAAAACTTCGAATAATTGTAAATAACTAGCGGCACGTATAAACAGCAGCATTACCAAAGTACACTTTTGCAAACAAATTCAAGTATTACAATCAAAACAGAACTCTTATATCCTTTCCACATTACAGTAAAACAAATGCCGTTCCTTTTATGATTATCAAAAACTAGTAAAGATACGTTATTTACATCATTCTTATCTTCGCACGATAAAGTAACCGTTACGATGCTTTTTATCACATCGTTCGAACAAACAAATTCCAGGAAGAACGTACATCCAAAATGATAACAGAACAAACTTTAAAGTCGTCATTATTATGAAATACAAAGCTTAAATGAGTACAATGCACCGTTAACTGATTCTTTTCATTGTGAACATCTCTATCGTCAAATCAAATTAGTAAACCACCTATAAAATTCCGAATTTTTTTCAAAATACCTATAATAAACATACACGAACTAGTGGTGAATCCACCCCCATTCACCCTCCCCCCCCCCCCCCTTTCCCTCTTCTAGCGATGTTTCTAGACAAGCTATTACAAAGGAATCATCTAAAGCTTAGTCTGTTATAAAAATGACAGAAGAAACCAAAAACTAATTACCATATAATAAATAATAACTACCATAACAATGTCAAGATCTACCTTTACCCTTCCCTCTCTCTGTAACAAGATTGATCAAAACAAATTCTATGTACTATAAAATCGTACCACAAATGTCGCTAGGGAGAGAATGAGAGTAAATTCACCCAAGCCCCAGAAAAAATCTGTAGCGGCGTATTAGTTAATAATAACAAGATTAATCAGAGACTAATATATCAACCGAATGACAAAATAGATCGAAAACTAACATCAACATGCGTGACTCTTATAAGATTTTTCATTTTCCCAGCTGTTTTTGTAAACATTTATGACTTCTTCGTCATTCTTTAGTCAACTCAAAAAACACATTTTTGTCATTTTTAAAATAAAAATCATTTTTTCCGCAGGCTAATTTAAATTTGCCAAAAATATAATATTTAAAAACGCCTTGATAACAAACTTTTTAAAGTTTTGAAAGTCTTTAGACAATTTTTATCAAAAATCCATTCCCAAAACAGTATAAAACAAGAAAATAGCAAGCAAAGTTGCTGTTAATCCTTTTTTAAAACTTTTAAAATACGGTCCACCTACCGGAGCCCAATCCAATCGCTTTTGACATGATCTCCTGTCTCTGGACCTTGTACTCCATTTAAAAAAACCTTGTACTTCACCTAAAAAGACCTATTAAATCATAAAAATAAATACTGTCCCAAATCTGTATATTTTCATCACCAACAGCTACGTAATTTTATAATTATAGGTATTAAAACTTGGTGTTTGTTTGAAAATGGTTTTTTATCTAAAATTTTGTCTATCATATCACTTTAAACAGTAAACCAAATCCATAGAAAAAATTTATCGACACCAAAACCCCAAAAAGCTCAACATCTATCTAACTTCAACCAAACAGCAATCTTCATACCTAATCCTCGACAAAATTTCATTTATTACCCAAAAATTGTCTATCATAACATTTTATATAGTGATCACAATAAAAGCAAGTTGTCATCACCAAAAATGCCTAGAAGCTGAACACCAACAGCTAAACTTTAATCAAACATTAAACTTCATACCTAATTCTCAACAAACTTTCACTTATTACCTAAAAAAAATTATTCAAAAAACAATAATTACGTTTGTAGTTGGCCTCCATTTGCTTGCCTTTTCCAAGTATCTTCAAAGCAACCAGCTTCTTCATATGGGTATCAAAGGCTCGGTAAACTGTTCCAAAGTTTCCGCTACCCAACGCATCCTTAACTTCTCGGAACTGACACCTCTTCACCAACTGGCCAAATTTGGACATTCTGAAAAATATATAAATAGATTTATAAATCTAATTTGATTTCACGTATAACAAACAGAGCAAGTTGCTGAACAAGAAGCAGAACAACTTGTTTTACATTCGCTGATTTACGATAAACTTGACCCCAAATTAATAAACGAGTGGAGTATTTCTCTTCAGAAAACAATTTACACATTTGTCCCAAATGTCGCTGTCCCAAATGTCGTTTGTCCCAAATGACACCCTGCCTATTTTTGAATCAAGAAGTTTCGAGTTTTGATAAAGATTTGATTTTTCAATGCATAAATTACAAATTTACACGATAAAAGGAACGTTATTGGACACAGTTGAATGTTTTGCAGCTAATACCGTCAAAGATCTGGTAGAAAAAGCCGTAACTTCAAGGAAATTGCGCTTTGAAGAAGTCTGCAGTCTTCACAAACTTGGAGAAGATGGGAAATGGATAAAAATTAAATGGAAATCAAAGGTTTCAGATGTTCCAACTGTTTATAAAGTTATCAGGGATACTTTAAAGGTAATTTTGTTATTTTACAGTTTTATTTTAATGTTTAGTGTCGTCTGAAGCATCGTGTTAGAGTCGTAGATTATGATGGAGAAGAACTTGCATTGATACCCACCAAGTCTGGGACAATTGTACGAAATATTTTTGCCGAAGTTGTTAGCATCTTAGGGGTAAATATGAAGAATGTTTTCTTTGTGGAATAAAGTTTTACAAAATATTCGTATGGATCAGAAGATATTGAGGGAGGAAAGGTTGGTAATAACACTCGACTTATTAGAAAGAGTAAGTTTCAACATTATTTAATATTTATTATGTTTAGGATGTGATTAGGATTAAAAATGGAGAGCCAGTCTTACCGAAATGCTTAACGGTTTTGAAGTTGGATGAGATGTTATTGAAGTATCAACACGTGAGTTAGCATTTTGTGCTTATTTTTCCCTTTTTTTCTAACTTTCTGGTCTATTCATAGCTCTGGATTTCATTGTTGAACAAGTTGACCCTAGTACATTCAAAAATAAACGAACCATATAATTATATTTAAACATAAATTAGAGTTTACAAGTATTTGCAGTACTATGAGACATGTTACAGAATCTTAAAACTAGAGGGACAAGATCAACAACATGGGACCTCGTTCCGGCTGATGTCGTAGTTCGGTTGAAGGCAGGAGAGCTTATGACAGATCCTGAAAAGTTGTTGATATCTAAATGTGTGGCACCTCTGCTACAACAACATTGTATGAAGAGGAATTCTCCTTGGAGAGATGAAAGTCGGCTATATTTGGCTAACTTGTTTGAACCGTATCCTCAACTTCATATCGTGAGTTTTCTCGCATCATGATCATGCTGAACAGTTTGTGTTTTCAGCCTGATTTTGTATCACAACACGACTCAAGGGTGGAGATTAGTGTGTTTGAGCGGGAGGTGATAAAAAATATAACTGAATTGAAACGAAAACGTCGTGCGGCGATACTCAAACTTATGGATCGTTTACCTAAAGACCCGTAAGCTGTAAATACTTGTAAATATTATTGTCGAATACCTATCGGATTTGAAAATTTGCCATAACTTTGATATTATTGTTGAAATTTTAAGTTTATTGTTATAAAACTGTTAGAAATTCACAGATTAGTACCATTCGAATGTGTTTGTAACCGGTTTGACTACAATATAATTAAGTCGTTAAATATAATTGACAAACTGAAAGTGGTTTGAGATGAGAATGAGCCTGAGGGTACGAAAATTGGCAAAAGTAGGTATAAAACCATAAAACAAGGTCTAAAATGTCATTTTTCACTAAAATTTCATGAAAAATTGGCATTTTATGTTGAAAAAATGAAAATTTGTGAAAAAGTATAAAGTTGGAAATCAGGCATCTAGGATAAGATATGTCAATATCGTGGCGGCAATAAACCCGGCCAAGGCGAATACCAAAAACAAGAATACTGTAACTTTTTTGTGGCGATCTGAATGTGCTTGACGTTCTCTGAAAATAAAAAATTAATTTTTTGAAAATTACAATAACTTTCTTTACAGTTTTTTCTTAATTGACTTAATCTAATTTACATAAACTCGCAATAACTTTGTTTACACTTTCAAAAAAAACTTTGATTTGGTCAAAAAGTCTATGAAACATAACATTTGCGATAACTTTCTTTCCACCTCTTACCTAAAGTAGTAACTATCCGATGGAGCCGCCTGTTTGCTTCGATTTCTCATTTCAATGGCCACGATTCTTTGTTGTTCATGCTCGTCTCTGTACTTGACCATCTCTTGGATGACACAGACTGCCACACCCACCAATAGGAATACCAGTAGGACAACAATGGCATAGAATGTGTCCTTCCAGAGGCTTTTGAAGTAAAATACGGCAATGATCGACGCTGCCACAGCCAACAGAACTGCCAGTAGGCCGAATGAGCGGTGGAAGAAGTTGAATACCGGTCGTTTTGGATGGTCGAGACTGCAACGGGCTAGCGCTCCAAAAGGTTGGGCTAGGGCTAGGAGTACCCCAATTGCACCAATCTGCAAAATTTTATGGAATTTAGGCATGAAAGATCAATATATTGTTTTAGGTATCAAAAACCTAATTTTAGCCGATTTGAAATTACATTGTGCCACTTCAAAACAATTTTTTAAATAAAAATTCGTAAAAATGTAAAAAAACAATTGAACTTTCTCTTTTTCTAATTAAAACGTAAATTTTGAAAGTAAAAACCTACAATACTATGCAGAGCTCCAGGATGCAAGTTTTCGGCGCTTCCTTGATTAACCGATGGTCCGGTCCAGGTCAAGTCCTTTGAAATTAATGCCAACACTGATCCAAAAACAATCAGAAGAACTCCGAGGAAGTTGAGAATTCGATGGATCTGAAAATGTTCATTTTATATTAGCATGTAAAATACGATGTCCGTTGTCAGTTTGTTTTAAGTTAATTAATAAAGATTTATTGACTTATCCCCAAAAAAGTCGTGGCTACTAGAACAGAAAGAAGGTACACTAGGCTAGAGCAAAATTTAGGTCAGGTCGGGCCTGAAAAGCAACGCCCGTCCCTACCCGTTCCTCATGTCTAGGCCCGTACTGAGCCGAAGAAAATTTAGAAGGGCACGGCCGGCACATCTGGGCTGTGACCAGGGCCGGACGCTGGGGGAAGGGGGGGGGGAAACCCCCCAGAAAAAAATTTTCGAAAAAAGTTGAACGTGGTCCCCCTGTGGATTTTCGGAAAAAAATTTTCGCAAAAAATCGGGTAGCTACCACTGCCGATTTTTTTGACCCCCGCCCCCAGACCAAAAGTCCTCGCCCGGCACTGGCTGTGACTTAATGCAAGGCAACAGGGAACCAACTTAAGTCCCGTAACAAAAGATTTGACTTGCGAAAATTGAAAAACGAATCTCATGTTAAATAAGGGTGATAACGAGTCTTGTGTGCCAGGCCCGTTTGCACGTAAAAATTCGGGCAGAGCCGGCTTGAGGTAAAAATGAAAACGAAGAAGCATATGAAAGCCTAGAGAAAAAAAAATTTTAAAACTTACATGGAACCAGATTCTAAGCCCGCTGACAGTCGTGTTTGGCCACAAATGCCTCAAGAACCGGGCCGCGAAGACTCCAGTGAACAAGAAACCAAACCAGCCGAATAACATTGCTACTCCTGAAACCAACATTACTCAATATCACTTAGGTATACCACTATAAATAGAAGTGACAAAAGTCAGAATAATATCCACAATGAACCTACTGCCAATTTTTGGCTAAAAACCACGAAAAAACTCCAGAAAATTTATAAAACCACATATAAACCATAAAACAACACATATAAACCATAAAATCATACACATATAATCCTCAAAAACCTACCGTGATACCTCAGAATGACATGTTTAGTGCTGGCAGTGAGCGAAAATGGTCCGGATCCAACCTGGTCAGCTCTTTTTAGCTCTGGTTCTTGTGCTGGTTCCTTCTTTTCTTCTTCTTTCTTCTCTCCAGCATCGCCAGCAGCACTAGCAACTTCACTTGAGTTGCCTTCGGTCTTTGGTTGTTCAGCTGGTGTTTCAGCCTGATCTGGGGTCCGTTTCGTCAGAATATGTTGATTTGGAAGGGTATCTCTGTTCGAATGGTAGTTAAGTTCTAAAAAATTAAAAGTTAGTTCAAAAAAATATAATTTTAAACTTAAATAAACGTGATTTTAACCCGTTTTTAAGACTAAAAAGCCAATTTTAATCAATTTCACAGTAACATCAATCTTGTACAGTCTTTAAACAGTCTTTTTTAGGTGAAACCCTTCCAAAAGTCTTCGTTAACCTACGTTTTCCATTAACAGGTCCCTTGGCCAACAGCAGAAACACTGGTTTTGACAGATCTGGAATGTACTGTGTGGTAGATCCTTGACTAATTGGCTGTTCGAATTTACAGTAGATTTGTGATTCATCTGATACAAACTCCAACAACTTGGCAGTGGGTACCGAAGTTTCTGGAGCTGGAGCATTGCTTTTACCCGGGTTAAAACTGTTTAAAACAACCGGCTTTCCATCTTCTTCAAAACAGGCTAGCACTGGCTCATTGCCCTAAAACATTATTTTCAGTTTATACTAGTTCAATATGATCATAAAAACAAAAATATTAACGATCATTTTATACAAAATTGAAAAAAAAACAAAAGCGATATTAACCATCACATCAGCTATAGAACTAATTTTTAAGCGCCAAAATTAAGGATAATTAAAAATAAAAATGTAAAGCAATATTACATACCATTCCAGTATCTTCAGAGAATCCAACAGCAACATATTTGTCATTTTCGTCATCTTTTTTGGCCCATAGTTCTACCAGTACCTTATCACCTTCCAGCCGATATGCCGCTTTGAAATCGTTGTTCTGATCACAATACTTGGTCTTGTCGCATTCAGACCAGTCTACTGCCTGTAAATTGAGTGTCTTTATCAATTCAATCGTTCAAGAAGCTTAATTTTAGCATAGTTTCACAAAATCAAGCATATTACTTATGCTAACAACACTATGCATGAGATATGAAAATTAAAGGTAAAATCAAAACTTACAGAGAATCCAGAATGTAGAACAAGTAGAAGACATATTAAATGCTTCATCTCCGCCATTCCACCCAGTTTCAGGCCCTAAAACAATCAAAGCAATATTACACTGGAAGATGTTGATGTATACCCAAAAAACACGCCAAATTACTCGCCAAACATCTCGATTTCAACCCCAAATTAAAGCCACAAGCAACAGTACAATCATTACTATAAAACAACATTCAACTAATTCCTCTACTAACTCGTAACATCGGTTTTTCCCCCAACTTCAACAAGAAAAAACGGAATTTATCAAGAAAATTTGTAAAAACCACTCAATTTGTTGAAGTTCACCACGAAAAACAGGTAAATAAACAACGTCAAAAGTGGAATTACAATGTAAAAAATGCGGCGAACACGCTTGAGATGGTCAAAACAGTTCAATTTGCTAAACAAGTCCTGGTTTTTGTCCAAAATCAAGTGAAAACTTCAGAATTTTGGAAAATCAACGAAAAATCTAGAAAAGTTGTCATGATGTTTAAAAAAAGAGTCATAATGACGCGCTTTTGAAAGTTATGGGAATTGTGATTAAAAAAACAGTGTAAAATAGCATAATAAACTAAAACATTTTTGGAAGATTATTAACTTTCAAAAATTCTATGTCGACGCTGAACTTTCCATAAAATAAGTCATAATGACACGCTTTTCAAAACAACAAAAAAATGAAAATTTTGAATAAAAAATTGACTTACAAGTAGTAACATAGCTAAAACTTTTTCGCAAATATATTTTTTTTAAATGTTAGAGTTAAAGAAAGTCAAAGCTTCTGAACCAGTTCAACCTCAAGGTGAATATGTTGCTACAAGCCGCAGCTGGTTATGATTCATGGTGATTAGTAGCGGACAAAATCATGTCGGAGCTTGACTAACTTGCTTTCACTCCTAGTGCTGAGAATCAAAGATAAATATGTTAAACAACCAGGAGAAAATGTTATATTGTTATAGGTACTAGTCTTCTTTAAAGTTTCATACCTAAATTTCTAGATCAAAAATCATCCCAAAGTTATAAAAACCAGCTGTGAAACCCTGTGATCTTCTGTACAAACTGTATTTACATGTTTCGATCAACCCGAAACGTCAAAAAAACCGCCTTAACTCGCCTATATTGTACATGCGAAACCCACGCAACGAAAGACGTATCAAAAATTGTCTTTTTTGTTATTTAGCCGATTTTTTGTTGTGTAGGAATCTGATGACCTTCAACTCGGCTTTTTGCTTTCCAAAATTAAAAAAAAATAGTTTCGGAAAAGATGGATCTGGGGCAAGGAAAGGGGGATGAGAAAACAATGTCATGCGTGACACCTTGACGAATGTGTTGTATTTGCTTGAGAAACATTCTTGTCGTATTTTGATTGGCGATTTTTATCGGCTTTCAATGATTTATGAATTCTTGGAACGGGGTTTGGATGTAAAAGTGTTTTCTTCTACTATTAAAGGGAGTACCATGTACAAGGTGGGTGAAGTATACTGAAGGCAGAAAGTTTTGACCCCCATCTAACTTGGCTATGAGTGAACCGACCAAGACTAAAGTAGGTATATGTACTCATAAAGTACTTTTTATAGTACAAACACGGTTGGCCAGAGAGCTTGGAGTCCTGTACCCGACAGGGCACAGGGCAGGGCACACACCGTTAATACCCTGCCTAGACATGAGGAACGGACCCTACCTTATCCTACCCTATCTTACCCTAACCTATGCTACCCCACACAAAATGTCCTTTAGATTTACTTTTCAAAAAATTTTTAAAAAATAAAAAATTTAAAGTTGTAAAAAAAATTCAACACAAAAAATCATCCCCCCCCCCGTCCAGCTAAAGTTTCCATCAATTAGAAATTCAACTAAAATCGCCCTAAAATCGAAAAAAGACCGAACAAAACGGATTCGGTTATAACAAATCGGACCACGCATTACTTACACGACCAAAAAGTGAAAAAAGTAGTAGTAGCGTCGGTTGTAAACAATAGAGACGTGCGCAACTTATTTATTAAATTCGGGCTTATTTGTGCAAGAAAAACACAAGCCCGGAGGCGAAAAGTACTTGAAAGTGAAAAATTGAACAACGTTAAAGAGAGGAGGAAAAACTGTTTTACAAATTCAAAAAAAAATCAACAATTTGATTTTTTTAAATAAATCAGATTTTTTTGATTATACATTTTTTAAATAATTTAACCGCAACATACAGAAAACGACCGGTAAAGTTGTGCAACAGAACTTTTGGCGCAGCCTGTAAAACAAATTTGAGTATTAAAAAAATAATTTTAAATTTTGGTTTAAAAAGTTAAAAAAGCAAAAATACAGTAAAATAAAAAAGCACCAGTAAGTTAAACAGTAGTGAATAATAAGTCATTTCACGGAAACAGGTTCAACACCCATTATTAGCGAGTTTAATGCATGTTCAAGGTCGGACAAAGATCGCTAAAGACAATATTTTTATGACAATTCAATCAACTTTTGCTACAGGAAACTTATGTTATAGATGTCTCTATATTAATACAAAAAAGACATGTATTAGGTGCCGACATAAAGAACACGCTATTTTTTACAGGAAATTACAGGAAAAGTATGAAGGGGTCTTTATGTCGGGACCTAATACAACGTTAGCTTAGCGCTACTAAACTCTAGCTTCAGGCCTACTTCAGTCCTAGGTTAGTTTTAACATAGACTTATGTAGTGCCTTACGTTGACCTTGTCTTTGCTCTGCCCTATTACTCCTCCGATCTGGCATTAGCCCTAGTCCTACCTTAAATTGACACTAGCTTTAGCCCTAATTAAACTATATGTTGTTCTTATCCAAAAACAACATATCTTCTTCCTAACCTTATACTAGCCTTACTCTTTCCTTACCTCTCTACGTTAAGTTTCTAAGTATCTTGTTACAGCAAATAAGTTTAAATTCTTTACAAATCAGTATAACGCCGTTCATTTACAACTTAAAATTGCTCGAAATTTAGAAATTACAAACGATTAGATGACAAAACTTTGAGGTAAGTTAACAAAAAATACAAAACATTTAACTAATTTTAAATTGCAAGTTTAAAAAGCTTAAAAGTTTTCAAAATTTAAATATTTTAACTTATTTCTTAACTTTTTCCTTTAGGTCAAACCTTTAGAAATGACTCATTTACCTCTAGAGTTAAACGTTTTTTAAAACTTTCACGTTGTAAAAAAGATAGAACACGCTTTCCAGACAACCGTGAGTGATTGCTCTTTGAAATAGAACCACTTCAAATTATAATAACTCCCCGGAAATACTTGTACGTGGGTTTAACTGGTCTGACTGGGCTTATAATTGAGACGGAAATATAAACCTATAGTGTTCATGTTATTGGTCTAGGTCGACGTAACTTGTCAGCGTACTGTTAATGGCTATGAAAACATATGAAATAAACTACTATAAAGTTTAAGAGAGATTTACAATACCCTACCCTACCCTACCCTACCCTACCCTACCCTACCCTACCCTACCCTACCCTACCCTACCCTACCCTACCCTACCCTACCCTACCCTACCCTACCCTACCCTACCCTACCCTACCCTACCCTACCCTACCCTACTCTACCCTACCCTACCCTACCCTACCCTACCCTACCCTACCCTACCCTACCCTACTCTACCCTACCCTACCCTACCCTAATCCTACCACTCCTTTCTAAAAATGTCTTTCTTACCTCTGAGTGTTGTATTATACTAATCTATTCTGTCCTACTCTAAGCCTACCGTTACTACATTATACTCAACCACGATCTGTTTTATCATGCCCATTCTTTCTATTCTGCCTTACCTTGCCTTACCCTGCTCTACTCTAACCCATCTTAACATGACTTACCCGTAATTTCCCTACCTTATACTATTGTATCTTGACTTACCCTTGGCCTAATACCCTACCTTACGATGCCCTACCCTACAATACCTCACCCTTCAATATCCTACCCATCAATACCCTAATCTACAATACCCTACCCTACGACACCCTACCCTACAATACCCTGCCCTACAATACCGTAGCCTTTTTAAAATTTAACAAAATTTTAAAAAATGAAGAAAAAGTCGGAGAAATCTTGTAAACCCCAAACCAGCTTCCCTAACCCACAATAAACAAACAAGCAAACAACAAAAAAAATTACAAAAACCCATTCACATTTCACACAACCCTCGTATAATATATTGTTATATTTTTAGCTACTTTTGACGCAAAAAATCGAAAAAAATGACTGCGCGAAAGTGGATTCAGGATTCTATAAAAAATGAAGCGCCACGGTAAATTAACCCAAGTGAATTTACTTTTAAAGCAAATTAAGTGCTTTTTAAAGTGTCAACAAAATGACACGCTATGTGGTGGGTTTGTTTTGAAAAATGACACATTTTCGTAGAGTATTATAGTAATCTCGTACTAAAGTGTTAGGTGCCGACAGTATTTGCGACAGTTTTTTGCCAGACCGGGCAGGACCGAACCGGACCCAAAATTTGAAGTTTGGACCGAGCCAGACCCGAAAATCGCCGGGCCGGACCGGTGAAAAACGCTACGGACCGGTCCGGGCAAAACACTGGGTGTCGACATAAAGAACCCACCATATTTTTCTTGTAATTTTTTGTAAAAAATGGCGGGTTCTTTATGTCGGCACTTTATAACTAGAAAATATGATCGTTTTTTAGGTAATAATGTCAATTTTAAATAGACTTTTTAAAACTTCTACTAACTAAAACAAAACAAACAAATTTTTTTTTATTTATGGCATTACGCATACTGTAATTTTAGCCTATTGCGAAAGCCTAACGCATATGTTTAACTTAAGGGCACAGTATTAATTTTTTTTCAAAAATCGAACAAAAGGACTACCCGTTGCAATAGATTGTCATTCTAAAAAGAAGAATTCAAAGCTTGACTGTACAGTAAAGTAATCAAAGTTTTACGACCGTTACCATTGTCGATCAATAGAAATACATAAACTTTTTATGTTGTGGTGACAATTAACTTGACAAGTAGCCGGTTTTATTGGTCTATATTGGTCGTTTTAGAGGTTTTTTTCAAATTTATTTTGTATATTTTTTACTTTAGTAACATTAAATTTTTAATTTTTCTACTTTGGTTTAGTGTGAGTCAGTATCAAAGTTCCCACGGGCTCCGGAGCTGACGTCGGAGTCGGAGCTAAAATTTAGTAAAAAGGCTAAGCTTGGGCTCGAAGCTTACACTTAGTTTCTCTTCCGGCCTAAGGCTCGGGCTTCCGAATGCGGTGGATTTGGACTTCAAGTATGAGTCCTAATATAAATTCCGAGTACTTTCTTCAACAAATATATTCATTAGCTCCAATCAAATACAATAACGATACAATAGAACAACAGTGATCACGATAGAAGTACAATAACACAAGTAGCTTGACGGTAGAGTTCGGGCGGCGGCGTAGGTTCTGGCTTCGGTGCTGCAGGCTTCGGAGTAGGGGGGACGTCGAGTTGTAGGAATATTCCTCGATAGGTCGTAGAGGTCGGCTTTTATGGCAACCAAACGGGGCGGTATTTGGCGAAGAGCTGAACTTTGGATTGGTTCCATCCAATCAGGGGAGGGGGAAGTTTGGGAGGTGAACGGGGTTTTGAACTGTTCCCGTGGAGATTCCTGAGTGCGTGGGAGTCTTGGCGTTGACAGACAGCCACGTGACTGATGAGTCACCTTTGTTTATCCAAAAGTTGGCTTCTTCCTTCTGGCAGTTTCTGCGACTTTTAAGATACTTTATCAGGTATCTTACTCCTATACCCTTTTTTAAATGGACAAGGGCAGGGTTGAAAAAGGATCGATGTCGATCCGTCTATTCCACCGTTGAACAAGTCCAACGCCAGGGTTGGTGTAGGGATGATTAAGAGTGGGGGCAAGGAGAGAGAGAACAACCAAGGAGTTGTGAAGAGAGGGTAAAATGATAACTGACATGAGTTACCCCAACGAGAGGATAACAAAAAAAATATAAAACTAATAGGCAAAGTGTGGCAAAGACAACACACAAACCATGGAATACATTGGTGGTAAGGAAACTAGAGCTTTGGAAAGCAATATGTGCGGAGAAAACACAAAAAAAATGTAAAATAATAGAATCCGAAAGAGTGCTAATACAAAAAAAAATTTTATTTGAAGGGATAATAAGATGGACAAGGTTATAACTGGAAATATGTATGACATGAACAACTAAAGATTATTGTTGTGGGTGTGGTTGTGGCATGGGATGGCGTTCTACCGTCGGCTGTACCAAAGCAATCGTGAGAGCTCGGGACTGTTGTTGGAGATGGTTTGACGGTCTCCAATCACGACCAGGAGTTGACGGCCACGAGTTAAAGCCGTCGTAATTCTGTTCTGTTGGAATGCAAAGTTGCTGGAGGGTGACTCGGACCCTTTTACTGTGACGATGATCACTATATCCGCTTCCTTTCCTTGGAAAGTTTTTAGGCTGGAGACGGTGATTCGCATGGCCGGCGTTTTAATCTCGTTTATGGCTGACTTCAATTAGGCAACGGCGGCGCTGTAAGGGGCAAGCACTGCTATACTTTTGTTCCCGGTCGTGATGCCCGGAAGTTCAGTGATATCGGCCAAGGCCGATTTGGCGGCACGGACTTGGTGTATGTTGGTGTAGCTGTGGCCACTGAGTGATGGGGCTTCCTCTACATTGTAGTACCAGATGGGAATGTCTGGTGACGAGTTGGAATGGTTTGTGAGCTCAGGCCAGTCAATGTGACGCTGAACTGTATGCATTCGGTCCTCGTAAACACTGTATGAGAGAGCTTTAACCAAGGGCTTCAGTGAAACGGAACGATTTGGTCAACCTCAGGAGAACGCATTGCGGGTTTTGACGTAGAACCCACAATGCGCTTTGGAGTCCAACGTCCTGGAGGTGGTTTAGCGTCGGGGGAACGGTTGAATGAAGCTGGTAAATGTCCCCCAGTGCAATGAGACGATCTGGAGTAGATGGCATGGCCGCGATTAATGCAAGATGTTCCACCTGGTTGGTTTGTCCGGCCTCGTCCAAAAACACAGCAGAGATAGGACCGGTGATTTTTCCTACCACTTTCGTTAGTGTGGAAACAGTGCCAACCAATACGCGAACTTGTCGTCGTTGCAGGACTACCCCCGCCAAGAGCGCGTCTTGTGTGAGAGAAAAAAGGCGGGGAGCTGGAACCAGAGCTGGAAATTTGAAATTTGGGAACTCGGGTCAGTATTAATATATATGAGTCTGTTCTTCCAGTATCTACCTTTGCTTTAGTCTACTCTACCTATCCTTCACTACTTTATATACCCTTCCTTAATTCAGTATTATCTTATAGACGTTATGTACATAAATCTATTAGGCACTTCAATCTTAGTACTACAATTTAATAAATCAAACAAAAAGGTACGTCTCTAACTATTCTTCTAGGGAATAAACAGTATCAGTGTCGGCCCGTACCGTAACAAATGTAAAGTACAAATTATCTATGACAATCACTATAAGTGAATTTAAAAACAGATTGATAAAGATAATTTTCGGTATACTTTTATTTCAAGCGCCTCTGGTTGAATTAAAAAATAAAAATATAATATTAAAAATTTGTTGCGCAGCTAAAACTTTTTAAAATTGAATAGTTTTTTATATTTTACACACACAAGCTAATCTTTGTCCTGTAAACTTTGACTGTTTATACAATTTCAGGTTTCAAAAATATGTAATTGCTAAATCTTTGAAATATAGTGTTACCAAATACAAAAAGAATACTTAATCTGTCATTTTGTGATAAAATATTAAGCTTCTACTCTAGCCTACCTTAATCTGCCATACTCTACATGACTTTAATGTATCTTAATTTATCTTTGCCGTATTTTGCCTTATCTTGGCTTACTCTACTTCCATTTACCTTATCTTGCACTGCCCTACGCTATTCTACCCTTTCTATCATGGTCTACTTTATATCCTATTCTACCTTTGCTTACCTTATATGTGTTTACTTACATCACTCTAGTTTACTTTAATTTGGCTTATCCTACTTCAACCCACTGTGTCTTAACGCACACTTATCAATAAACAATTAAAAAATCCATTAAAATTCATTTAATCTCAAAACCTTATATCTTAAGCACGAACATAATATCTATAAGCCTCCACATTGTTGGCTTTCATATGAGCGACCAGTCGCCCCTGTTCATCGACCCATCTCGTAATCACCGAGGTGACACTGTTGTCGCCTTCAACGTTACTTTGTCGCTCAATCATCTTTCCATCGTCGGTCAGCTCGGCCACAATGTAGAATTCTCTGCCATCGATCGTGTGATGACGTGCCTTTTCATTCAATTTGAAATGCCATTCGTCGTTTTTGAAGGTGGAGATGACTTGCACTTTCCACTCGGTTCCATCGAACGACAGCTTCAGGTTGGGCTTGGTTACTGCACCAGCCTTGCGCTTCAGCAAGCCAATTCCGATTTCCTGGAAAAAATGTTAAAAATTTGTAATTTAAAAATTTCAATTGCCTACTTTGGTAAGGACAAAAAATAAGTTATTTTAGTAAACAATAATAACCAAACTTACTTTCATGTAATTGTCAAAATTTTCCGAACTTTCCAATTTCCATTCTCCCAACAACAACTTTTGTTTATCGTTCAATTCGACTGCCATTTCGTCTGAAATTCAAAAATAATAAGACAAAACATTCGATAAGGCAAAAGTAAAATACGACGAAACACTAGCTAAAATCAAATAAGAGACGGTTTTTAATCAGAGTTGGACACAGGGGGCAAGGAGGAGACATTGACGATTTTCCGTGCCCTTCCCTGTGCCTTACTGTATCTTGCTCAATACAGGGCATTTTGGCGCTAGGACTAATGCGGTTTTCAGACAAATGCGGATTTTTTGAAGGGTTTTTTTTTAAATTTTTTAGTTGATTTAGTTGTAGTATAGCACTAAATGGTAAGAACAGTTTAAATTGGTACTGTTTTTATATTTTTTAATATTTTTAACTTTTAGTACCATTTAGTACCAAAAACTATAAAAACACTACCAATTTAAAATTTAGTAACATTTAGTACCATACTACAACTAAATTAACTAAAAAATAAAAAAAACCCTTTAAAAAATTCGCAATTATCCAAAAACGGCATTTGTCCTAGCGCCGAGGCAGGGCAAGGGCACAGGACAGAGCACGGAAAAGCTTGTTTATAACATGTATGTTTGGTCAGTTGTAGTAGTCAAAATTTTTGCCTTCCTTAAGTTCAAAATCTTCAGAAAAACAAACAATAATTACTGTAGCTTCTTTTTGACACAACACAAAAACGAACTATCTTATCCCACCCTGTAAATCGTATTTCATCCTATAAGCACGTAAAACGCACAGTAAACATAAAATATTTTCTCAAAAATTTCATTTCCCTATCCCTACCAACTTTACAATACAAAAAAACGAAAATCCGAGAAAATAATGCTGTAAACCAGCAGAGATCCCTTGTCTTACTCAGCGCTGTATTTTGGCGTAAAAAATAAAAAAAATCCGAGATTTTATCTTGAAATTTCGAAAAAATAAAACACTAAATTTAAAAATCCATCTGCCGATCCATTGTTAGCTTTTTATTATAGCTTTCTACTAAATACAATGATAAAATATTGATAAGTGTTATAATACAGTGAAACCCCTGTATAACATACTCTTCTATACCAAAACTCCTTTATAACAAACAATTTTAAAATCTGTAAGCAATTTGTTATATACGAGTTTTACTGTTTACAAACATACTCCTATACAACGAAAACCCCGTATAACGAACAACTTTTGAATCCCCATCTAACACTACACAGTGCATTTAAAACTTCTGTATAACGAAACTCCTTTATAACCAACAAATTTCAAGTCCATGAGCGATTCGTTATACAGGAGTTCCACTGTAATAGTAATGAAAAGGGTAACAAGATTCTATTGAAACTGATCACCATTATTTTAAATAAAACAATGCGACTTTGACCTTCTTAAACGTTTCTTATCTTAATAGCTTCAAGTGCTAGTTGATTCGTGACAAAAACATGTTGATTCATATATTATATTATTGTGTATTGATCACACAAAACATAAAAAGTGAATGACATATTAATACAGTTTCAGTAAAACTGTTTTTTTATTTTAAGTCTATACCATTGTGGTGCTGACCAATAAATCACTAAACTCACTTCGACCAACCGCTCCGTAAGACCCATAGCTATTTCTCAAACCCATAGCAAATGCCTATGCATAGGCATTTGCAACTTACAAATTAACGAGTAGCGCTAAGCCCACAGGGACTGTAGCAACTCGGTTGCTTAGTCTAAACAGGCTTCCGACTACGACCTGAAGCCTTGAGGTGCGCCTCATCATGACTCGGTAGTTCGAGAAACAATGATCGCCTAGATGGAGCAAAATTGAGAACAGATACCATATGCTCTGAAGGTTTTCACTAAACCCTTATCATCCCCCTCACGTCTCAAATTATATAGCTTGCGTTGTAAGAAGAAAAGTTTTTTAAAAATTTACTATCTGTACCACAACATCTTTTCATAGACAAATGTTCCCAAAAAAATTACCAAAAAAGTACAATGAAATTAAAGTGACAATACTTTTTTAATCATGCCGACAGACATTCAACTCATAAATATATATTCGTTTATTTCACATGACTAACAATAAAATAAAATAAAAAACGTGAATGTTAAAAAACCAAAAATATATTATAGTATTTTACATGGCAACAATAATACAAAATAAAAGACTTGTTACAAATTTAAAATGTGTGATAAGTTTTTGTCTAGTTACAGTGACAATCTCATCATCAAATCTTATCAGCACGAGCCCAAGATACAAACTTTATTCACAAGTAGACCTGTAAAGGCCGAGCCTTGTTTTAGGACACGGCCCTCGATCACACATAAACAAGCCCGGCCCTTTCAAATTTGCGTCAAATCGTCTCGTGTGGGCTCCCCTTCAGATCTATACACAAGACAATACAATAATAAGAAGATAACTGCAGAGTTAAAAGTATGTTTTGTCAAAGTGCATGTACAATATCAGCTAAATAGCCTAAGGACAAAAAAAACTTACTACAAAAAAAATTTTTTTTTATTTAAAACATTCCCAGAGTTAAAAAATAGCAAAAACTTTCTTTACAACCAATAAAAATCATAAATGAGGCATGGCTGAAGCTTGGCCTGGCCCAAAAGCAAAGCCTATACCTGCTAGCCAAAAATAACTCAAAAACCCACAAACTTTTTAAAACGTTGCCATAATTATCTAGACAGCCACTCTTATTATCACCTGCCTTCCTCCAATTCCTCAGCCGCCTCTACCTTCAATACACCCTCCCTCTCTTCTTTTCACCTGCCCCAGCAAATGTATATGAAGATAGACAACCATATTACAGTACACAAATAGCAGCCGGATTCGGGACTTCGATTTCATGAATCGGCCCCTCCAACACCCCTTCATTGAACCTGAACAACTTGATGTTGTTGGAGAGTTGATTCGCCACCACCACATACTTATCGTCGATTAATTGGAAAAAGCGTGGGAAATGTCCATCACTCGAGAATGTCTCCACCAGTTCCAGCTTTCCCTCTCTCGGGTTTACAATCCTGAACACGGTGATACTGTTGTGTCGTCCTCGATTCGATACTAACACATATTCACCATTGTCGGAGATTTGAAGGTGTGCAGCACACTGGATCGGGTCGTCTGGGACCTTGTAGCTGTGCTCTAGGTTACCAAGGGCTGATTTTTCATCTGTTTTTGTTAGTTGCTAAAATTTTATGTCATGAAAAGCTTACAAAATATTAGTAGTGTTATAGCCATGGTAAAACCCCTTATAAAACATAGTAAACACTCCTTATAAGTAATACCAAGGTAAAGACAAAAACCCTTAATGTTGCCTATAAAAACCTTTATACAACAATAAATACTTATATCCGATGATATTAAACTTGCTCAATTTATATAATAAACCTACTGTGTAAAGTCCATCACTTTCGTATACAACCAATGTGTTAGCCAGCTCGTTTAGTACAAACAGAAGATCGTATTTTGGATGTTTTAGCACATGTCGAGGCCCATTTCCTGGCGGTAACTTTATTTTATGCATGATTCTAGACTTGTTTTCATGACATCTTAACTAAAAGTGCAATAATTAACAAAATAATTACAATATTGCTACCTAAACATAAAATATTTACTCAAAAATCAAAACTTGTTACCTAAAAAATAAAAAAACATAAACAGAAGTCTATAAAAAATATTATGTCATAATACTTTTAAATTTATTATTTTACTTTGTTCGTATTTTACCATAATTATTTTCGCTTATAACAAAAAATAACCCTTGGCTCCTACTACAAACATCCCACACCTTACCTTATACAAAGCATCAGCCCCAAGATCAGCAACCAAAAACTCATCTCCAGATTCCAGTGGAAATACAGAATGTGGATGTGGTGCTTCCTGACGATCCGCAATCACTCCGCTTACATCTTCAAATACGACCGGGGGATGAGGATGTAGATGTCCTGCATCATCTTCACAGACCGTCCTTACCACACCGCCATCGTAGAAAGCAATCGCCAGCAAATTTATATCATCTTCACGTAAGCTACTGAGATAACAGGCTCCAGGCTCGTCGAAGTTGACTGTTTTGTGGTGATGGAGCTCTCCATTTGATCTATAATAAGGTAACTTTTGCTCGGAAATTAAGTAAAATCGCAATAAATAGGAATGTTAATTATAAAGATAGTTGAAAAAAAGTATAAACTTATTTTTTGAAACCTATATTGCTTTAAAAGATCCCACAAACAGCACCAAAATACCCAAAAACCCATACCGATCAATGTCAAATCGATGCAAAGCACTGAGCGGAGCCTTAGCTTCTGTCAAAGCGTACAACTTAGTACCAGTCTTGTCCTTCAAAAACCAAGAAATGTTCTTCACATCCTTCTTGCCAATTATGCTCAATTTCTCGCCATCCAACTTCAAAACATATAAACCATGATCGATTTTCTCTGGAGCATACGGAGGCTCTGTGTATGATCCAATGAATAACACTTTTGAGGTCATCTAAACATCAAATACGTAAAAACAAGGTTGGTATAGATTTAAAAGGACAGTTAGATTATAAGTTTAAAACAGTAGCAGGATTAAACTTTCAAAACATTAGTGTAAACATGGGTTTGAAGAAGCAAAAACACCATGAATAATATTGAGAAAAAAAATATTTTTAAAATAAACGTAAATACCAAAATTTACCCTTTATAATACTATAAACTAAAGCAAAAAATTTTAGCTAGCTCCAATATTTATTTACTTCAAAACGCGCGATGTTATTTTAGGTAACATCTTCAAACCAAAAATAAGGGAAAGAGACGACTTCAAAAGCCTAAAATAAGTAAGAAAAACTAAAATAGAAACAAGTCTTAGTTTTGGACCAAAGATCAATTGTAGTTTGCAACAAAATTCGCGCGAAACATTAAAAAACTTGGTTCGACAAAGAAATTTCCCAAAAATATTGATAACCGACTCGAAAGACGGCTCTTAAACTGTTCAATTTTTAATTCTTAAGGAAAATAAATGTTGACGACCTATTTACTATAATATTAGCAAACTTTAAACAAAATTTGGCCCCAATCCAATCCTCATTTCCATCAAAAACCGCGAATATTGTCGTAAGTATCGAAGAAATTTCCCCAAAATTCGAGAAACTCTCCAAAAAGCAGTTTAAACCCCACAAACTCCGAAAAAGCACCCTTAAACCGTACAAATTCAACAAAACTGACCCTCCCGGCCTCGTGAATCAATCGCGACGAAGCGATCTTGCTCGAATTTCCATGAAAATTCTAAAGATTCGAGCCTCGCGAACGTTTTTCCGAAAATTTTGCCCAAAAACAAAAAATTTCGCAATTTTTATTTCTCTTTCTCCTATGATATTGTTGTTTACATCTGGAGGAGAAGAAAGAAAGTAGGAGGGGAAGTGGCTGAAAGAACGGAATAAAGTAGCAACTATGAGGACAAACATTATAATTGATTGGTTTTAGGTAATAACGTCGAAACTGTAAAGTTTAGTTAATGTGGTGGTGCCAGAAAAGTCTTGTCGTTTTTAGACGTGCAGGACTGTGTAAATTAACGACAAAACTTTTTAGACGCCCTAATATTTTAAGGTTTTTGTAAAAAAAAGTATAATACTATTATAACAATAACAGCTGTTACTAATGGAAACGTGGTTGACATATATAAGTACTTATACATCTTACAAGCAGTAATTATGTCACATTTCAGCTGTCAGCTTGCACTTTCGAAAATTCACGTAAATTTTAGATTGTAGGCTTGTCTGTTTATATTATACGAAACAAAATATCATTTCAATTTTAAGCTAAAAAATTTTATGTCATTCTAAAATAGCATTGCCCATAAACAATAATGGCATGTTATAACTCCATTTTTAAGAAAAGCCTACTTCCGAACATGTTTATGGCAAACACAACCTTTCGGATCTTATCTTTGATGATAAAATCATAGTATTATTTTTTGTTTATAGACGTTTTGAAAGTCAGTATATTTTACACTACTACACAGTAAAAATAGACATAAGATTCTGTATTTGAAACAAATTCACGTAAAATTAAGTTTTATTTCTTGCTAAAAAAAGTAAGACAGTTAGAATTTAAGCCCTTTTTTGTCATGAAAACATAATAAACAATTTTTTCTATCATAAACATTAAAGGTTTGTCAAATTGATAAAAAGAAACGTTGGAATCGCATGTAAACGAGCGAAGAGAGATGCCGGCCCAAGTAGTATAGTGGTTAGTACTCCACGTTGTGGCCGTGGCGACATCGGTTCGATTCCGGTCTTGGGCAGCTTGCTTTTTTGTCGTTTTTTCTCTTTTTTTTATGTAATATGTTTCTGATTGAACTTTGTTTTATGATTAGTAGTTAATATATTTTAATATAATTTGTCAATGTAAGGTGCTATTAAAGTTTTAAATTTTAAAAAAGTGGTTTACAAATGATTTTTTTTCTAAAAATTACTCTAAAAATCTGTTTTTTAGTTTTTGAGAATTATTTATTCATTTTATGATAATAAAATGCACTTTAAGTCTCAAAATTTTGGGATTTGCATAAATGCCGAACGGAACAGTGAACTGTGTGTGTTCCGGAACACGGAACTCTGGCCCACGTAATAAACAGCTTAAGGGCAAAAATCAAGGAATAACAAAGAAATGGACTGTAATTGTTTACCCATTGTCATGCGGTTGCCTAGAGACCCTGCTGTGTTACCGTGTTACTGTGCTCTTGCATTTTTCAACTTTCGAACGGTTTTTTCTTTGCAGTTTTGTTTGTGTTATGAAGAGCCGTTCCTTCAGGTTTGGGTTGAATTTCAATCCGTTTTTTGAAGTGGGCGCTACGTAAACAGACATTTGGGTATTTAAGGGGAGCATGGACTAAAGTCGGAATTGTAAAAAGCATTTTTGGAATTTGTGGAGATTTTAACCTTAAAAATGAAACAGGGCATCTTTTTTGTCTTTTTCTGAAATCCCAGTCTACATATGGGCACAAGTCTTGTGCCAAGCCGCAAAGGGGGGGGGGAGCACTTCAAAACCAGTTGACTGTGTTATGACTAGTACTTAATGTTGCTATTGTTAGTTGTTTTTTAGTTATATTTGTTGTTAATGTAAATACTTGATTAAAAAACAGAGTAACAGGATTTTTGGCGCACCCTGTATATGACTATAAGCACTAGACTATATATGGCTACAAGTCCCAGTTTATATATGGTCATAGGTTCCAGTCCATATGTGGTCACATTTTATATATGCCCATAAGTCAAAGCTTATTATTTCTACAAGGCCCAGTCTATATATGACCATCAGTTCCCGGTCCATATATGGCTACAAGTCCCTAAAAAACTTATAGCCAGCTAGCCAGATATCTCTTTATCTTGGTTCAAAATCTTGGTCTGTTTTCGTCAGCATTTTTAAAGTTTTTTTGAAATTTTTAGCTACCAAGTGTTACGCTACAACAGAAAACTACGTTCTTTAGTGTCTTACTTGAAAATATTGTTCTTACTCTTAATTGATTTAGCTTGTTTACTTGCATAAACTGTCATCTGGTGCAGTATAATGTGTTTTTCGCTAAATGTCCTTGTTTTCCTTTTTCCGGAATCTTATTGTACCTTGTTCTTCCTGTATTGTCACACGTTTTTCTTTGTTCCTTATATATTTATTTAATGATTTGAATCGGTCGAACTTCGCTTCGACAAAAGATATTTTTGTCTTTGCATTTTACTGTATCCCTACTATATTTTTTCGCACTACGGTATCCCTACTGTAGTTTTACTCTATTATTCAAAAGCTTTTCTTAATTCATTCTTAACTATAGCCTTACTATAGCTTCTGCAGTCTTATCCTGGCTCTACCATAGTCTTACTTGAGGCTTTCTTTAACCTTACTAAAGCACTACTTTATTTCTACCATTACCCTATTAGCCTTGTTATAGCTTTACTTTAGCTCTACCATAGCCGTGTTTAAACTAGCTTAGCTCCGCTTTAGCTTTATCTTATTGTTTTACTAGCTTGACAATAGCGATATTTGTCTTCACTCTACCCTAATCTGTTTCTACTTTAGGCCATAGCTTTCGTATGTTGTTTAAAAATGATAAAATGTTTCAAATTTAAAAATGATTTTAAATTTTATGTTTGAGTTCATTTTTAACTCTATAATGAACAAGTACTCGCTTATGTTATAATATAATGAACCGTTACTCTTTCCTATTGTACATACCTTCATTACACGTCCTCCCTAACAATACCCAAAGATAAAAGAGCAATAAAGAGACATCAGCTGACATTATTGTCACTCTAATAGGCCTCCTGTTATCAGTACTAATGCCTTTGCACTCTGCTTCCTCAACTAAATAGCCTCTTATCTTTCGGGAAAATTCCATTTACTTGAAGTTTTTTGTAAAGCAGCTTATTGTAAATATTAAGAGTGTGTTGTAAATGTGGCAGTGATAGAGGAAGGGGGAAAGGATTATCAGTAATGGAGAAGTAGAAGGAAGATTATCAGTGATGGAGAGGGAGAAAACATTATTAATGATAGAGGGAGAAAGAAGAGTATACATAAGTGAGAGAGGGAGATAGAGAAAGATAAATTGTTAGAGATGGAGGGAAAAAAGGTAGTGCTAAATAGTACGATGGATATGTAGTGTTATAAGATGAGATTTTAGAAGCAATTTATAATTTAAGATATGTAGTGTTACAGTATGTTAGTACAGTAACTTTTAAGCCCCATAGATAATACCATAAATTTTAAGTCAGATAGCTTAAGTATTGTAAAGTAAAGTGTCACAAACAATATTGTAAAACTAGAGTAATATGGTTTTTATCTTTCCAAAACTCTTTGGTTTGGTCTACCACGGTTTGAAATAGGGCAGGATTTGAATATTTGAAAACTTGTATTACGTGACTTTTGGTTCGCTCTGTGGTCAGTCACGATTACTTTGGTTTTAAAAGGTAGTTTATTCCGACTATATTCTATATCAGATACGTTGTTCTATGTTGTCATTGTTTTTTGATTTGGTTATGTTATGATACGATGAATAAAGCGGAAGCATGAGGTAAGGCTGGGCTAATTCAGGGCTATGTGATGGCTAGGGCAGGGCTATGGTATGGCTAGGGTAGAGCTAGGAAAGAACTAGGATAGAGCTAGGGCAAGGCTTGCGTAGGTCTAGAGTAGGGCCGGAATAATGCTACAGTAAGGCTAGACTAATGCAATGGTAAGGCTTGGGTAAGACTAAGACAGTGCTTGAGTATGGCTAGGCTAGAGTTTAGAAAAGGCTAGGATAGTTTAGGGGTAGGATTGGAACGTAGAGCTTGATCCAGCGATAGGGCTAACATAAGCTTACAATTTTTGTTAGTGTGTATGACAAAGACAATATAAGAAATAGAACAAGACTAGGATAAGAATATAGCATGGCTTTCAGAAGCCTTTTAAACTTTACTTAATTTTTTATAAAATTTCAAAAAAATCCAAGGCAATTTTTAAAAAACATCTTTTATATCTGATATCACTTTTCACTATCATTTTTTTTTGCTTTTTAAACTTTTATACTCATCTCATTAACGCTCCAAAAGTTCCCTTCATAACCTCGTGTTATGTGTAGGTGGGGTTTGAAGGTGAGTTTAAGTACCTATTTACATTCACTAACATACTACGCGTTTGTTTATTGCTCTATTAATGTTGGATGTTTTTAGAAGTTTAAATATATATATTTTTGGAAATGTCACCACCTTTATTTTTTATTATAAGATTTTTTTAAAATTATTGGCTTAACACGACTATAGTGATAACAATATTTTGAAGCTTATTGTTATACATAATTATAGTTGTGGTAAGCTTAAAAGCTTTTTTGCAATGTGCTTTGTATATATTATTTTACAATTGAAGTCTGGCCTTATTTTTAGAAAGAAAGTTTAAATTTTGCGGTTTTTCGCCATTTGCCCTTTCGTGGCATTCCGCCTCAAGCCGAGCTTTTTCGCCGGATTTGTGTTATCTTCTCCCTTTGCTTTCTCTGACGTGTTTTATCGATTATACTGCTCGTTCCCCTTAACCCATGGCCAAAGGCCCGACGAACCAAAAAGAACGTGAAAACCGAGAGACCGGCCGACGACGAGACCAACGAAAAGGGAACAAAGATAAGATTGCGAAAGTTGTGGCCCGCCGACCGGCTCAAGACCCCCTTCTCCGCACTCAGTCATACACCGCACCCACCCGAAGCCGACGAGACCCCAGCCTCATTTCCAGTGGCTTCGGCGCCGTTCCGTCACGGGTCTTCAAGCATAACATGATTGTTTTTGGGGTGGATAACATTGACGTCTTGATTTGTTGATAAGCACAGAGTAATTGATGTTGTTTGGGCACGACATAGTGGACTCGGATCTTGCTTACCCTGTTTTTGGATGAGCAGACGTTTTTTGAAATCTGTGGAGCCTTAGGGCACAGTTTGGGTTGGGGACTTTCAAATTGTAGGAAATAATCGATATTCTGTAGTGGAGAATTAATAAAAGTCTAGGGGAGTTCAAAATGTGTCGAACGGTCTGTTTAGACTTTAAAATTTTCGAAATATTGTTTTTGTAAAATCCAATGATAGAGCCGCCAAAACTCTTCAATTATTTTGTTTCAAAAACGTTTCATACAAAGTGACGAAACGTTTTAGTGGTCTTAAAACGTCAGAACTGCCGCTCAGGGATAATATTTATATCAGTTTCATATAAGTATGTCTAAACGTTTTGTTAATTTTTAATTTTAAAGTGTCGTACCTTAACATCCCTTCCGTCAACTAAATTTTATTTTTCAAGCAAAGACCTTCAGTAAGTCCCATAGATCTTATACAAAATTACCTTCCCAATTATATACAGCTTCATCTTGAAAAATCTTGTAGGATTTCCTCTTGTGCATCAAAAGTTATAGGACATCAAAATAATAGAATACCCAATGTGCCACTCTTTATCACAAAATTGGGGATTAAAAGCCGATTTTCTTTAAAAAGCAATATTTTGAATAGCCAATTCTTTAAAATCTACTTCCTAGCCGTCTTTGTTATCATTTTACAGGCAATTAAACTTCGATTTACTTCCCCAAAAGTTCAAAAACTGGTTCCACCTCAATTTCCTCGAGAATATCATAGGAAAAAACTTGACCCGTTGATGAAAAGAGGCCAAGGAAACAGTTGACGCAAGCTTTTCGTCGATATTTTTTTCCTGTTTTCGGCGTTTTTAGTCGATAAAATGATAAAAGCTTTGCAGAATAAAGCTGCTGAGGTCATTCTTCTGCAAAAACTTTTTGTTGAGATGATGTTTGTATAGTGTAATATATTTTGTCGCCAAAAATTTTCAGTTTTCCGCTCGTTTTGATGAATTACTGGGCATAAATGCTCTCGAAAATAGCGATTCCAGCTAATCGGATAGTTTCAACTGAACTTGGAAGGGTCATTGACAGCTTGTGAAGGCAGTTTTGACAGTTTTAAGGCTTCTATTTGAATTGTTGGTGTTTTTATGAGACAGTTTTGGTATAATATTGGGAAATTCTATTATAATTCGTTCAATTCTGTCGAGTTTAGTCCAAAATCATTGAAATTTGATAAAAATGAGCGTATTTGGCCGCTGGCATGGGACGTTTTTGGTTCTTTCGTCTTTCGATTTCTTCATTAGATAAACATGGTTTATGAAATGGTGGTATAAACATGGGATCTACAGTTTTCTGGCACCTTCTGCGATATTGTTTTAGGTCTTCCGACGTTTGTGAGGAAGTTAGATGCTGAAACTGCTATATGTATAATCAGCTAAAATTTAGATATATGGTTTCTGTCAATGTCTGTGTTCAATTTTGGATTCAGTTTTAGTTTAAGAGTTTGTAGGATAAACTTTTTGGGGTTTGCACTGTGCAAATATTTTAACACTTTATTATAAATTCAATATTAACGTGATTATGATAATATTGGCGATTTTATTGGTCCTAGGCTTAATGTCGTATTATTAAACATTCATATCGATTCCCATCTATTTCGAAACCTATCGATATTATCCATTTCTCGATATTATTGTAAGTTTCGCAAAAACAGAGGCCGTGTAGGAATAGATGGAGGTCTTGTGTCCTGATTTCATCATAACTGATAAGGCTTATCAGTAAGACCGGCCTGTGATAATCGAAAGCGTCTATTCGAAAATTTCGGGTTTTTATCAAATATTCTTTATAAATCGTGGCCTAAAATAATGTCTGGTCTTGTGGACTTTTACTCGTGATGTTTTATATTGTAATGATAATATAAATATAGGGTTAGACTTATGATTTAACTGTATACAAATGTTTATTTAGGTTGTTTTTTCGATTTATTTCGTGATATTAATGTAAATATGATGTATACAGTTGTAATTGGTGTTTTTGTTTCAGACTTACTTACTCTCTCCTTCTTTGCTCGCTCAACCACTAAAAATGGCCATGATTAGTAACATGAATAATTCCAATTCCATGAATTTGTAAGTTTAATCTGTTTTTAATAATTTTTGAAGTTTAAGTATGATTAGCTGGTTCTAATGCAAAATTTAAAATGTTTTATATTATAATTGGCTTGAAAAAAGCAATAAAGGCTCATTTTATACTAATAAACTGTTTTTTCTTGTATGGGGTTATACAAGCCATCGAAAAGTTCGGTTTTGATGTTAACCTACTTATAGTAGACCCTAAGTTAATCGTTTTCTGATCCCATAGTGACTTTTAAATGCTGCTTACAAAAGTTGAATTTTCCGTACAGTTTCATAATTAATGTTTCTTGTTTTCAGCTGCAGTCGGAGCGGTACAGGCGCTCCGTGTTGTTTTTGACGCCCCTCCAAGTGATCCAGATGCAAGTATAGACTCAGACGCGCTTTCCGGTCTCGTAAAACGTGAGTTTTTGTCGTTGTTATTGTTGTGTTTTAGGTATTGAGGTTTACATTGATACTTCTATTTTTAAGTGTGATTTCAAATGATTTTAAACATGTTGAGGATGCTAACTAAACTAAAATCGAATTTTCAGAAGTCAGCGAAGAATGGTGTGCCCACATTCCGGAGAAAAAGACCCTCGCCCTCTTCCTACCCCACAACCAACACTCGTCGAAGCTCAGCCGCGAGCACTTTGTCAACCTGCTCGAGTACTGTGAAGATGAACTCGGCTTCTGTCGCGTTCTCGCCTGCTTCAACAAGGACGGTATGGACGCGAAGCAGGGAATTCCACGGGCCTTGAGATGCATCGGCTTCAACGTCCTCGCCCCCGAGCACTTCCCAGCCAGCTTGGACAAACAGAAGCTCTTCTGCATGGTCTACAACATCTAATTTTGTTCATTGTATCTTGTAAAGGGGCGTCAGTTAATATATTAACCGGGAGTGTCAGTTTTAGTATAGTGAACTGGATTTTCAGTTGGTATATCAAACTGAACCTTTAGTTAGTATATTGACTTTGACGGCCATTTACAATTTCAAATTCGAGCATTATTTATTGTGTTTTATAACGTTGAGATTGTCCCATGATCTCAATCAAGTATTACACGGATGTTTTAGTCCCAATTTCTCCATATTCCATACTAATCACACCATTTTTATGTTTTGTAACGCTGTTTTTACCCTCCCCTGAGCATGAAAGTACTTTAGTTTGATTGGCTTTGTTAAGTTATAGCTATCTTGTCTCTTGTGATGTATTTTTGTATGTCTCTTCAGATAGGATTACTGTATTTTGCCCAAGTTTTGTTGACCCAAAGCACTTTTTGCAATTTTCCGCTAGCGGCCGACTGCCATGTTCTTGTAGCCCCAATTATTGTAAATTATTTTAATACCCTACACAAGAATCGCGTCTGAGTAACCTTAACCCCCTCTATCCCTCTATTACTGTAACAATATTAATGTTATTGTAGATTTTCGTTTTTCCTCGTTTCCGATTAGTCCCGAAAATAAATTGTACAGTAGTTGTATATCGGTTTTTAAATGCTAAATTTAAAACTACCTCTTAATTAGAAATTTGCCTTTTAGTTATAACTTCCTCCAATAAGTGGTTACAAACATGAAACTAATTCCACGGTGCCATACATGCCATTGGATGTGATTCAAAGGTTCTTGAAGTCAAATTTTCTTTCAAATTTAAGTTGAATTTGTTTTTTTAACTTGAGGATTTAGCAATGGTTTTTAGGGGGTTTTCATCGATTTTTCCTTCATTTTTCTTAGTTTTTAGAGGTTTATGAATGTATTTCAATACTATAGTAAACCTCTTTGGCTTCATATTGCTTCTCTGCACTGTACCTTTGAATACTGTAGCAACATAGGACCCAGGACATTTTCACAGTGCTGTCTAATAGGAAGACCAATTTTATTGCGCCTTTTCTAGAAGTATTCCCAATCTCGTATTACTCGTCATCCAAGCTTTACAAATTTCGTCTCACCTCTTGAGACCAGAACCAGTGCAGTATGGGTAATGACAGGTCACGGTAATAATTTAAAAGCTTTCTTGCGTTTTGGCAAAGCATTTCTTGTAATCTATATCAAACAATTTTCAACTTATAAATTTCATTTAACAAATTAATTATATAACAAGTGTAGCCAGACTAGTTACAAGACCTTCGGATGATATTAATCTGTGCGTTTCTAACAATTTCATAACAATACACTTAACAATAAAATCAACAAAAGAATAAAAATATCCTAGTAAACTACAAATTTCATACAATAACAATTGTGGAAACTGTAAAAGTTACAGTAAGACGCATTATATTAAAATTTCGTATTTACATATATAGTATAATAAATCAAATGCCAAAGCTTCAAAAATTTTAAAATTAATTAAAATGGGCCACAGCCAGGGCCGGGCGCGAGGGGGGAGGGGGGGGGGACGGGGGGGGGGTACCGCCTCCCCAGAAAAAAATTTTCGAAAAAATTTGAACGTGGTCCCCCCTGTGGATTTTTGGAAAAAAATTTTCGCAAAAAATCGGCAGTAGCCTGTGCCGATTTTTTGGACCCCTGCCCCCAGACCAAAAGTCCCCGCCCGGCCCTGGCCACAGCCGTATAAGCAAGGCAAATAAATATCCTATAGGTTTCTATGTTGAAGTGGAGGTTTTCATAAGCCTAAGAATGGCAGAACGACGCTTTCGTTTAAAAATAGTTAAATTTTTTATCATCACCCGCTCGAACACACTAATCTCCACTCTTGTGTCTTGATTCGATACAAAGTCCGGCTGAAATAAGAAATACTGCGATACATATTAAATCAAAAACTAGATATTAAGCTGGCTATTTGTGGACCATTCCAATCCCAAAGAAATTCTGTAGCAACCTCCCTATACTCTAACGTCTTTCTCACCAAAAGTGGGGATGAACCAAGCAAACGGATAGTTCGTGCATGAATAAAAAAATACTTACGATATGAAGTTGAGGATACGGTTGAAACAAGTTGGCCAGATATAGCCGACTCTCATTTCTCCATGGAGCATTTCGCTTCATACAATGTTGTTGTAGAGGAGGTGCCATACACTTAGAAATTAGCAACTTTTCAGCGTCAGTCATCAGCTCTCCTGCCTTCAACCTAGCCACTACTTCGGCTTGTACAAGTTCAGACGCAGCCGACCTTGTCCAATTGTTATCTATCTTTTTCTAAAATAGTTGCCAATTCAATAATTAAATGGTCTATTTGTCTGCCCTTCAAAACACTGAATGTTATAATAAAATCCAATTTCCTGCATCTTATTAGTAGTGTTTTGCCGGACCGGACGGACCGAAACAAAAACTTTTGCGGACCGGACCCAAAAACCTGCGGACCCGGACAGAAGAAAAAGCTCCGGACCAGAAGAAAATTTTTTTTTATTTTAATAAAACTAATTTAAAAATTGCAAATAAAACATATTTTTAGGAGTTTTTAAGCAAAAAGAAAGCGGTTTTAGCGCTTCTTGCTTTTTTTTAAAAATTAAAAAAATTTTTTTTTGCGGACCGGACCCAAAAATTTAAAATTTGGACCGGATCCGAAAATCGACGGACCAGACCGGTGAAAAACGCTCCGGACCGGACTGGGCAAAAAACTGCTTATTAGTATTCAAATTTAACCTACATGTTCATACTTCAATAACATCTCATCCAACTTCAATACCGTCAAACAATTAGGCAAGATTGGCTCTCCATTTTCAATCCTAATCACATCCTAAACATAATAAATATTAAATCATGTTGAAACTTACTCTTTCTAATAAGTCCAGTGTTATTACTAACCTTTCCTCCCTCAATATCTTCTGATCCATACGAATGTTTTGCAAAATCTTATTTCGAAACACCTCCACAAAGAAAACATTCTTCATATTCACTCCTAAGGTGCTGACAATTTCGTTAACAATATTTCGTACAATTGTCCCAGACTTGGTGGGTATCAATGCAAGTTCTTCTCCATCATAATCAACTACTCTAACGCGATGCTTCAGACGACACTAAACATTAAAATAAAACTGTAAAACAAAAAAATTACCTTTAGCGAATCCTTGATAACTTTATAAACAGTTGGAACATCTGAGACCTCTGATTTCCATTTAATTTTTATCCATTTTCCATCTTCCCCAAGCTTGTGAAGACTGCAGACTTCTTCAAAGCGCAATTTTTTTGAAGTTACGGCATTTTCGACCAGATCTTTGACGGTATTAGCTGCAAAACATCCTACTGTGTCCAATAACGTTCCTTTTGTAGTATAAATTTGTAATTTATGCATTGAAACATCAATTTATGTTCAAAACTTGAAATTTCATCGGTTCAAAAATAAATTGTTTTTAAAAAGAAATACTTGACTCAATTATTAATTTTGAGTCAAGTTTGATGGTAAATCAGCGAGTGAAACAAGATTTACTGCTTATTCTGCAACAAGTTGCTCTTTTACTTAAGTGAAATCAAATTAGGTTTATAAATCTATTGCTGCTATACTTTATATTTCAGAATGTCTAGGTTTGGCCAGTTGATGAAGAGATTTCAGTTCCGAGAAGTTGAGGATGCATTAGGCAGCGGCAACTTTGGGACAGTTTACCGAGCCTTTGATACCCACATGAAGAAGCTGGTGGCTTTGAAAATACTCGGAAAAGGCAAGAAAATGGAGGCCAACTACAAACGTAAGTTTATATTTTTTTTGGAAGTAATTGTTTTGGGTAATAAATGAAGTTTTGTCGAGGATTAGGTATAAAGGTTGATGTTTAGGTATTAGTTTTGAGCTTTTTAGCGTTTTGGTGATGGTAAATTACTTTTTATTTTGTATACTATTACAAGAGTTATGATAGGCAATATTTTAGGTAACAGACCTTCTTTTTAGACGAACACAAGATTCTACAACAACTTGTTCATCCTTTTATCATCCATCTGTATTGTGTGCTTGATATGCCAACTCACATGGTGATGGTATTGGAATTGGCTTGGGGAGGGGGTTTGAGCTGTGAATTACGCGAAAGATTGGCAAAGTTGAAGGCATTCAGAAGCCAGAAGAGAGATTCAGAAGAGCTGGATGAGATTTATATTGATTTTGAGAGGATTTCAAAGTATTTTGTTCAGGTAATTGCAAGGTTTTAGGGGTGTTCGGGTTATAACTTGAAGTAAAGTGATAGATTTTGCTATTTTGTTAGGATTTTCAACGTTTTGTGTAAGTTAAATCAAGGTTAATATGAGCTTTCGATGTATGTAAGATCAAGGTTAATATCAGCTTTAAAATGGTATTTTCGTTGATGAAAGTTATAAAACATGATGTTTTAGGTATAATAAGATCTAATGTAATAAAAACAAGGTTTGCACTCTCATTTTCAGATGCTCTCAGCGGTAACTTACGTTCATTCTCAAGGATTCATCCATCGTGACATTAAGCCTCAGAACATGATGTTTATCGACCGGTCGAAGCGTTTCCTCAAATTGGGCGACTTTGGAACTTGTTGTAGGCAATCAGATACAAAAGCGACAAAAGTTTTGGTTGGTACACCTGCTTACATGGCTCCAGATGGCTTTAATGGTACTGACTTTTCTGTTTTTGGACCTTTTTAATGCTTACAGGCATGGCTAACATAGATTTTGAGTTATTTGCGGTTTTAGTGAAACTTGAACATTTTTCTTTGTTTGAATTATATTATTATGACTTTCAGGCTATGTTACCCAATCTTTCGACTGTTGGTCTCTTGGAATAGTTTTGTACGAAATGATCGAACTAAAAGTGCCATTTGAACAAATTGACCATGTTTTTTATTGGAGGGATCACAGTCTTGATGTAAGTTTGTCTTTACTACTTTTATATTTTCAAAATAAGCTCCATAATGAAGAATTTAGGTTACGCATTTGATATTGTTGTAGGCAACGGATATTGTAATAGGTATTCATATTTTATGCATTCTTAATTATTGATTGTGATTTTGTTACAAATTACTTCATTTTAGATATCATTCAAGCAAAATAGAAGCAATATCCCGACTGATTTGAAGAATTTGTTACCTAAAATGATATGTGAAAGCGAAAACCGAATGGATTTGACTCGTAAGTTGATGGTTAATATAATAGTTGTAGAAAGGCAACTTTTAGGCTAGGACCAGGGTAAAATTTGGCTGAGTAGGTTTGAGACAGTTTAGATAATCTAGGTGTTCTCTTATTTATAAGATAGAATGTGTAGGATAAGAAAAGATAGGTTATAATCTGTCGATTTGTTTGTGCGGCTTATTGTAAAATCACGTGTTAACTATTTTTTTCCGTTTTAGATATTTATCAACTGCCATTTCTACAACCACACATTCAACGTCTTTACCTAACTACAGTATGATTCTACTACTCCACAATGTAAATAACTACAATATATTTTTAATTTCCTTACCTGATTTTTTAACTATTCGGCAATCTTTATACGGCTAGACCCTTTTTTGGACCATTTCTTCAGCTATACATTCAACTTCTTTACCTCACAACAGTATGATTACCTATAATGTAAGTGAATACCATATACGTATTATTTTGTAACATGCTTTAGAGTAATTTCCCAGTGCTTGTACTACTAATCAATATTTTTATACCCATATTAATGAACTTATGTCGTCAATGATAAAGAAAATATATAAATGTAAAAAATATTATTTGTATGATAATCAATCATTTCAGAAAAAGTACAAGGACGAGAAATAACAAATAAAAGTTTATTGCAACAAATGTACATAACAAACAAAACGATAACAACAAAAACCTATAGCAAAACACGATAACCTTGATTACCTATTATAACAAGTCTTCAAAGATAATTACTTCTTGAACAAGCCTAAGGCTTTAACAGCAAACGTGAAAACAGGAGAATAAGGTGCTTTGACCACTGAAAACCGACTTCCATTGCCGAGGGGGACCAAGGTTTCAGAAAGATGAATAAACATTGGCACTTTCCTGAATTGGGACTCGTGTAGTCCCAGTTTGTTTAACACTAATGGGCCTAACTTTACTGGTGTATTTGGTGCCAGTCCATTATATTTTACCTCGCCGATTAATGGACAACCAATTCCGTTTGATAAATGTGTTCGTATCTGAAGAAAGGAATACTTTAATACAAATTCATTATAATATTGTTTAAACTCATACTATTATATTATATAAGGCTTGCCATATTTACTTTAAAATTAACTTTAAGAATTTGTTAATTTTCTGCCTTTAAAATTAAAATATAGTAAGTTAAAGACAAATAAAACTTACAAAATGCAGATTACTCCTATTAACCACAACATCAAGTAAGCTGACGTTTCCCATTCGATCCTGATTCACAACATTGTACATGGTTTTATAATGTACAATCCCTCTGTGTTTGTTCTCGGCTGGCAACCATTTGATATCTTTCCCCTGAGTAAATTTAGCCAAGGGCACTGTTATATTGGCTCTCTCTTCTTTTGGTACACCTTTAACAATACATCTGAACCTGTGTTGAACTCTGTCTTCTTTTATGGCTTCTAATAGCTGTTTCTGTCTTTCTTCTGTCTTGGCAAATAATAAAACACCACTAGCAGAACGATCCAGCGATTCTACGAGGTGAAGACGTTGTATGTCAGGCGCAATCTTCTTTTTTAAATCCTAAACATGCAATTTATAAGTTAAACGTAAAGTCTAGTTGAAGATAGTTACAAACATGTCTTCTTAAGCTCTCTGTAAAAATTGAAATGAATCAGACTACTCTTCGTTGAGAAATTCAGCTTTAAACCACTCTATCAGACCTAAAAAGATCAAACAATATAAATCAAAACAAACCTGTAAAACTCGGTCAATCTGTAGTCTCCCAGGTTTCGAGCCAGAATATGGAATCAATATTGGCTTATCAATGGCTATCAGGTCGTCCGCATTGTAAATCACTCGTTTGGCCAAGAAATCGACGAACTCTTCAGGTGGGATCTTGAATATCCCTTGAACAGCAAGTATAGGGTTCGCCTGATCAACGGAAACAATTCCAGCTGGTGGAAATACATTAGAAGCTACAGAGTTTTGCATTTTATCAACTTCTTCATTAAAATTCCGAGAAAAACAAAGAATTTTATCAAAAATAATATTTTACACAAGGTACTTAATTTGGTCCTGAGGTGAAAAATTTTGCGCGCTAAACAAAGGAATTTCCTTGGCCTTCCGTTCTTTTTCTCTTGTTTTGATTATTTTGCGCTGTTATTTTGGAACGTCCACAGGGTAAGCGTGCTATAATTATCGTGTCCTTTTATTTAATAAATAATGTGATATGTTACGTCTATTAATATTGTTTTAATATTTGTTGTTTTAGGTTTGAAAATGGCTGAGAAAAGAGATTTAGCGAAAAGCAATGCTGAGGAAGGTGAGGAGATTGTAACTGTTAGTCAACTACGAGCGTTCATAGAGCAGGAAGAAGGCGAGCGAGTTATGAATGGACCTAAAGATATGGTCTGCACATATCCTGAGGTGAGTTTTGATGTTTATTAGTTTGTGTCATGGTTTATATCGTTCATTATGACTGTTTTTTGCTAGAATTTAGACTTTGAGCTAACTTTTTTTTACAGTTTAACATTATTTTTTAAATAAAGATATTAGTTTTTGGTTTTAGAGCTATGTTTCACGACAATCAGTATTCTCATGTCTAACATGTCAGAAGGAATCTGGAGAGTTGGCTGGAATATGTTTTGCTTGCAGTGAGAATTGCCACGAAGGACATGAACTGGCGCAACTATACACAAAGCGCAATTTTTGCTGTGATTGCGGGAATTTAAAGTTTAAGGATAACAAATGCAAACTGTTTGAAGTAAGTTGAATAAAGTTAATGTTTTAGGTAATTTTTATGTGTTAGAAGTTGGTTTTAAGATTTTTAAGGTAAATTTTTGGTTTATGAGGTGTGTTTTATAATGCTTTAGTTACATTTCATGTTGTATTTGGGGTTTAGGTCTTGCTTTAGTCAAATTTTACTATTTAAGGTATAGTCGGTTTTTGCTGGTTTGTTATAGTAATTTTTTATTAATAACAATACGTTTTTTCAGGAAAAGATTCCGAAGAACCGTCGTAACAAGTATAACCACAACTTTAAAGGTCTATACTGCACTTGCGATCGACCTTACCCTCTACCTGAAGATGATCCAATGTATACAGAGGAGATGGTGCAATGCTGTATTTGCGAGGACTGGTTTCACACTGTACATGTTGGTATAACGGATGAGTCTTGCCTCGATCTACAGGAGGAATTGGTCTGCATCGAATGTGCCAAGACTTATCCATGGCTAAGAAAGTACAAGAAGTTGTTGGATGAGCAGTTAAAGCGTGAAGAGCAGGAGAATAAGCCAGAATTGGGTAAGGCAACTTCAGAAGTTCAAGCTACGACCTCAGATGTGCAAAAAGATGCAAAGATTGGGGACAGTAAGGACGATGTGAAAGTCGAGGAAAAGAAAGATTGTGAAGTAAAGGAGACGACAGAGAAGAAGACAGAATGTATATTGGACAATGTTGAATGTGAAGATGATGGAAAAGGCATCGTGTTTGCATCAGTGGAGTGGAGGAAGTTGCTTTGCAAGTGTGAGAAGTGCAAGGTAAGGGAGACTATGGCAAAATTGTTATTTTTGAATTTTTTTTGCAATATTTTAGGTCGTTCAAATAATTCTGGGCTCTTTAATTTTTAAAATTTTTAAGTTTTTTTCTTTTATGTCTTAATATTGACTATGATCATCTTTTGCTTTGAGATTATATTATTATCTTTCAGCGTTTCTATGAAGACGAGGAGATGGAGTACTTGTCTGATGAGACGGACTCAGCGCTTCGATATGTTGAAAGGAATTTCGAAGTCATGAAGGAAAAGGATGACAATTTGTACAGCGAATTGGTCAGGTTGAGTGGTCCCGAGTTTGCTCAACGATTTACAGACAGTGAGTTAAACATTTTTTTGACCAGGCTTATATTGTTGTAGGTCTTTAAATTTACTTTTTGATCTTTCTCATATTGTTTATTTTAAGTGTTGGTTTTTATCAGTTTTATATTGTTTCAGGTTTTTATGTTTACCGTTTTGTTGTTTAGGCTTATATTGTTCATGATTGATGGCTGTAGATTGGATTTTTGAGAATTTAAGCTGGTGTACATTATATTTTTGATAATATTAGGTTTTTCAAATAATTCTGCGCCTTTCTCAAAGCAAATTTACGGGGTTAGGGGGCACATAATTATTTGAACAGCTTAATATTGTAGAAACATAGGTTGAGCGTTTTAAAATTGAACGAAAAAATATTTTTTTTTATCTAAAAATACCTCTTTCAGATGTCCAAAGCTTCAAAACGGCGCTGAGTAACTTTGTGAACAACTCCGAGCCGGGCAAAGTCATAACGAAAGAACAGATTGACGGCTTCTTCGAGGAGGTGAACTCGAAACGTTTCAAACCCAATGACGATACTCAAATGTAAATAGAACCCTTTATCATTCCGATGTGAATATCACTAGTACGGTGTAAACGTAATTTATTAATTTGACAAAATTCTCAATAAATTTACTCATAAATGAGGAGAAAATTTTTTTGTTTGGGGGTACATAATTATTTGTACAACTTAATATATTACATTTGATGATTTTTTAATTGTTTTTGGTATTTAAAAAATTTTTTTTTGATTTTGGAAGTTTACTATTTTTAAAATTTTTGAGTTTTTGGCTAGTGTTTTTTAAATTTCTGAAGTTCGGATTAGTTTTTTGTTAAAAATGCTGTTTTAAGTTACTTTGAGTATAATGTGTAACAGTATTGCTACTTTGTTCTGGCCGACATGAGTGGTGCTCAACCAAAACCCCAATCTTTGTGGTTAATGTTCTTTTATTGAGAAGTGTTATGGACGTTTTTGGTAGGGAAAAGGAACGGTTTTTGGTTTATGTTGTCTAAAATAAGGATAACTATGACATTTTTGTAAGAGTTCAAGGCTTTTTTTAATTTTAAAATCAAATTTTGAAAATAGTTTTAAAATTTAAAATAATTTCTTTTTTCATTTTCTTTTACCTTTTCTTGGCTTGTTTAATGTTTTCTTTTCAGTTAATCAAGTCTCAGGACAGTAGGATCTTTCAAAGCATACAGTAGGAGACCCACAATGTCTAAAGTAGGAGCTCAATACGTCTCAAGGTCTTTCAAAAAGGTTTAGGAGGTTGTGGAGCCAGGTTTTCAGGTCGGTTACTATTTTTCTTATTTTTTTTTAAATTTTTTTAGTTTTGAATTAGGGTAAAGGTACTATTTCTAAGCCTAGAGGTGTTTAATGAAATATGTCTAGAGGCGTCAATACTCTTTTTAATTTTCTAAAGATTTGGCTGTCTTATTGTAGCAGGTTTGATCATCTTATTGTAGTAATATGAACCCTATTATATGAACCATAGACAAAAAAGAGATCAAACTTTTAAAGTGTTCTAAAAATGATCTTAAAACCACTTGATTGGACTATAAAATGGGATATAATCAACTTAAAAGCTATCAGACAACAAACTTATATAGTTTTATGTCTTACAACTTATGGGCATTTATATTGCTCTATGTGGACGTTTTACGTGTCATCTTTGAACTTTTTATGGACCATAATGTTAAGTGGTATAAAATATACTATAAATAGTTGGTATGTAAAATTTAAAAGATACAGGCCGAGAGTACGTCAAGAAAGAATGTCTAGCTAAAGTTGATTTTTAACTACAGAAACATCATAGTATCGTTAGATTTTAATAGTATGACATAGAGTATTAGAGTACTATATTAAGTAATGCGTCATGCTGTATGAAATGAATCTTAAAGTACAATTTAAGGGTTAAAATGTCGATGAAGTAGTACGAAATAGTGTCATAGGCTAAATGTTTTTGATTTTTCTCTCGTACGATGTTCTTTTATAGACTTTTTTAAAGCTTGCTACTCGTTTCTACATATAGTACGATACTTTTTGATAAGCGTTTCTTGTGAAAAGCTTAATACCAGTCTCTTCATCTATACTATATGGTACTTTTTTATGTGTCTTGTGAAGCCTCATGATTAATGTTTTTTTCTGGTACAATACTTTTTGATGTTTTTTTTAAAAAGAGGTATCAGATTTTTAGTTTAGTACAATACTTTTTAATAAGTTTCTTTTTTTAAAGCATAGTACTATTTTCTTTGACTAGTACGATCGTACACGATATTTTGCGATAGGCCTTGTTTTTGGAAGCTGAGTACTATTTTTGTAATTTAGTGTGATACTCTTTAATATGCTCGGTTTTTACAAGCTCAATGCCAGTTTCTTCATCTAGTACGTGTAGGTTAATACAATACTCTTTAATAAGCCTCGTTTTAAAAGATATCCTGTGATAGGTTTTTTTTTAAAATTAGCATTGATTTATTTGTTTTTTTTCATTTGTCTTGCCATAGTAATAGTACGAAAAGTGCAAAAAACCTACTAAAACGGTGAGACGATAAAATCTCAAATAACGCCCCGAAGGCCTGTAATTTTAATGCGACGTTCTACGGCAACAGGTGCGGCGAATGTCTCGTAAAGAAAGATTATTATGATTTGTGGCTCATGTTCCTTTCGCTTCGTTCTGACAGAACTTTTAAGTTTTATTTGAATGACAGTTGACGAGTTTGAAACTTGTGATCAACAAGTGCAGTTGCACGTTCATATCTCAATGTGGTTTGCTAATTAGCGGGTGATTAGAAGGTTTGCTGTTACTGTATTGATACATCAAGTGTTTCTTGTTATTGTATTGATACATGTTATTGTGTTAGTATAGGTAAAAGGAAGTATGGATACACTGTAGAACTCCCGAGCGCTTGGGAATTTTAATTCTGTTCGTTATAACCAATTTTTGAAGTTTTATTGTAACTCATTTTGTTATTGTGTTCAGGAATATCAAGTACTGTTGATGACAATACGGATGATGGGGAAGTATAATATATTGTTGACTTTATGAATGTCTCAAATTAAATTTTTCATTTCGTAGACCTTTCTTGACGCATAATTTTTGAATATGACGGCTTTAAAGAACAATATTAAGTAAAGTTGCACTTCTGAATAACAATATTGTAACTAAATATATCAGTTTGTTACCTTTTTTTCTTAATTACTATTATTTTATTAACAACGAAAGTGCTTGACCAGCCGAGCTCTGAAACTTTTTAGGTAGCTTACGTAAATACAAGACCTTCAGCAAAGTACTAAATAGCGCTTTCCAGGAAACCTCGAGAAAATCGAAATATAAAATTACGTTCTGAATTTTCCGCCAATTTGGCATTGTGTTTCAAGCTTATAACTGCCATTTTGTTACTTTTAAGAGTTTTTCTTTCATATACTAGTAGAATACCTTTAAATGAACCCACATTTTTAAATTTTTATGTGTTGCTTGGCTGGTAAGTAGAAAAAAATGCTTGAAACGCAATGCCAAATTTGCCAAGTTCGCGGGAAACCAAAATAATTCAAATTTAAAACTCAAAAGCGCGAGCTAAAATTTTTATCGGTACTATTGGTGGTACAAGGAATTCATATAAAAATTTTGAGCTGATCCTGAGCGGGGCAGGCGGGGTATTTTCCTTGTAAATTCAAGGGAACTTCTGTATAATGAACTCTTCTAACGAAATTTATGTATACCAAGCAACTTTTAAATTCTCGGCCAACACGTCACAGTGCATTTAAAACTCTTGTACACCGAAACTCCTTTATAACGAATAAATTTAAAGTTTGGAGCAATTCGTTATACAGGAGTTGTATTGTAGAGTATGATAAGCGTAGCCAGGCGTTGGACAAAGATTTTACAGATTTTTTTTTTATTTGGTGTCAATATAAAGTAATAGAACAATAAAATAATAAGTTAAAAAACAATTGAAGAGGTCTCTATTGAGACTGATTTGTAAAAAATTTTCAATTTTTTCGTTATAAAGGGGATTTGGTACACAGGAGCTGTAAACGTTTCCTTATGAACTACTATTATTTTATTAAGTAAAGGTGTACTGTAACTTGAGCTCATTTTAATTTATTAAAAATTGTAGGTGTGACTCATATTATTGTTGGACTTGAAGCGATCAACAAACGCGCGCCAATGTGCTTTGTCTCACCTGTATAAGATGCTACAGCACGACGGCATGTGTTAATAACGAAATCTATGGGATTGTTTGTTTTGCCTTTTCGCTTGTACGTATTATTGTTTTGCCGAGTAGTCGTCGGTGGTAGTGATGGTAGTGGTCGGGAAAGCGTTATGGATATTATTGCTTCCTGGGGGGCTTTGTTTACCCGATTCTTTGTTTTTCCTAATATGCGGTAATTGCTTGACTTAACACAGAAACCTATTAGGCTTGAGCGTCTGGTAGAGTTATTGCCTTTACTTCTAAAAATTGCTTCTAAATACTTTATTTGACCACATTAGCTGAGCATGTGGATGAAGGTTGGAACTTGGACTTGTTTGGGTTAAGGTGGTTGTGGCACTTTTGGTTACTGTAGAACTTTGGGTTACTGTTACACTACTTACTGTTGAACTTTGGGTTATGGTAGCATTTTAAATTACTGTATCACTTTGGGTTACTGTAACGTTTTGAGGTACTGGAGATCATTGTATTAATGTAGCACCTTGGGTTACCATAGCACTTTGGATTACGGTAGCACTTTAGATTACTGTGGCACTTTGGGTTTAGTGTAGAACTTTGGGTTACTGTACACTTTGGGTTATTTAGGCAATTTTGGTTTCTATAGCACTTTTGCTTACTGTATCACTTTAGGGTACTTTACAAAACAAGAAATGGAATGAAATTTCTTTACAAAGCAAACAAATTGAAAGACTTTTTTTGCAAGACTTTAAATAGCAAGAACTTTCTTTACAAGATAAGGAATGACAAAGTCTTTCTTTACGAAACAAAAAATGGCAAGAACCTTTACAATGAACAAACAATCAAGAAATTTGAAAAGAAAATCGAATAGAGATGCATATTTTATATTGCACATGTGTTTTCACAGCATCAAAAATAACTACACATTGTTATTTTTCATATGGGTAATGTTATGAAATTGGAGACGAATTCGCCTCTCGAAACGTGGGACCATTTGTAATAAAAGTGTCTTATAACGGTCAGTGGGTTATGGCCGAAAAGTCCATTTTCGAATTACTTTTCTGAAGAGGGGGGGGGGTTGTAAAGGAGTTAACAATTGGGGGGGGGGGGGAGGATGGTATTACGTTTTCTATTTTTTTTGGATTTAAGGTCATTCTGAGGGTAGATGCTCAGTATTGTGGTACTGCAGCAGTTATAGTAGTACTGAAGAAAGCGTATTGACATTGATGAAGTTACAGTAGTAAAAAAGACATATTAGTATTGACGAATATTAGTGAGTAGTATTCACTGAGTATTGTGATTTGGCTGTTGAGATTATTACTTACTTGTTAGTACATATTATAAAGCTGTTACTGTTTACAATTTTGGGATCAGGAACTG